GTGCAAAAAGAAGAGGCAAGTATGTGTTTTCATATTCAGTCTGGATATAATTTTAAATCGTCAGCAATAAAAAGTGGATGATCTCTCATTAATTCAGCAAAACTTTGCAAAAAAGGCTAAACACATGGATATAAGGCATAAGTCAAGCTCATGAAAATTAGAAAAAATTATACAATTTTTTTTAATTTTTGTAGATAAGAATCAGAAATAAGATAGATGTTTGTGTAGTTCCAGAAAACAATTATTCATACCCTTTGGATCCCCATCCCCTGGATTTTCCATTCCATGGGGTGCTTGTCATAACCCCCCCCCCCCTCCCCCTCCACCTCTTGGAATTTTCCCTAGTTTTTCAACTTGCATTGGTTGGTTACCCCCTAGAAAGAATATTCGTGTTTCACCAAAAATGTTGTTGCACTATATTATTATGCAAAAGATATTTTTTTCCACAATGAAATGAGAAAAACTCTTTTCATTCATGTTAATATGTGTGTCTAATAATTTCAAAATGTTCTTAGCTAACAGTTAGCCATAGAAGCAATACCTTGTAAACACTATATACTGACTACACAAATAATGTCATCTGCAAAAGAACTCGTAAACTTTCATATTACTTTATTTTTAGTTTGAACATTTTTCACGAAGGCTTAGAACATGACCAAATTGTGAATCACTGCATAATAAAGCAACAGCTAGATAACCAGAAGTTTATATTTTCATGAGCTGATGACAATTGTATAATTAAAAAAAACTATCATGTAAGCCATATGAAAAAAGCATTTGGCCTATCATACATAAAAGATAATCAATGCAAACAATAACACTTGCTTTGAAACACTGACCTACCGGATAGTAAAATAACTGAAAGCTTGCTCAATAGAGAAGCAGTAAAAAAAGAGTACTGTAAGCAACCTCCCACCCCCTTGGAAACTGCCTCCTTTTGGACTCCCCCTCCCCTTGGAATTTCCATTGCCCTCCAATGGGGGGGGGGGGGGGGTTTTTTCTTAAATTTATTATTTTTGTGATTTATATTACTCCAAAAAAAAAAAATTTTTACTTTAATGATAAAAAATTTTTTTTTTTTTTTTTTTTACACTTTAAATCTTTAGTTTAATAAACTTTTTCTTCTCACTTTTTTTTTTAATTTTGAAAAAAGTCTTTATTTTTTTTTCTCCACATTTTTTTTGTCTTATTTTCTTTAAAAAATAACATCTTCTTTGAAACCATCAACTACCCGAAAGTAAAAAAACAGAAAACTTGCTCAAAAAAAAAAGAATAAAAAAAAGGTACTGTAAACACCCCCCCCCCCCCCTGGAAAATTCCTTCTTTTGGACCCCCCCCCCCCCTGGAATTTCCCTTGCCCCCCAATGGGGGGGGGGGGGGGTGGATATTTCTGAAACTATTCATTTTGTGAGTTATACATGACTCAACAAGAAAAATATTTACAGTTAAGTACTATAGCTTTTTTTTTCATTTTCATTAGCCATGTAACTCTTAGTGTAATGACCAGATTCACTTACCTCTTATTTTCTAAATATGGAAAAGTCTCTTGAATTTTGTCCCTCACATTGTCTTGAGTCATACTGGATGAAAACTCAATAACAGATTTAGTTTTAAGGTTTCGCATGTCACTGAATGAAGTGTGCTCATCATTAGTCTTTATCAGAGTGACAGTTCTGGAAAAAGAGTTACATTTAAATCTCTTTGCTCTAGCACCTGCACCTGGTTGGGTCATTATACAGTAACTCGCAGTCAGCAGTAATGTGGAAGGAAATGTTTTTTCCCTGAAAGAAAATAACAAAATTAGAGTATACATCCATGCACTGATTGACTTTGCAAGCTAGACAAATACTTTATGGACACTTTAATTACCTCCCAAGGACCAGTTGTCAAATCAATCAAATCAATCAATCATATCTTTATTGGTGGTTTTCACTAACACACCATCAAAAATAAAAATGGAAACCTTTCAATACAGACAGTCTAGAATCTGGGAAATGAAAGAAGATAAATATATAAAAAGCCTTGCCAAGAATCAGGTCTGTGCAATATTTCATATGCGAGATATTCGGAAAAACATTTTACCCAAATTTATAAAGCTTTGTATGGAGATGGCATAATTGTGTCCCTTTCAGGGGCAAAAATATGGCCGCCAGAAACCAACAGAAACATCTGTTTTTGAGTTTTCCCACTAATGCGTGGATTTTTCGCTTGAAGAACTCATCAAGATTAAAGTTATATTGATTTACACAAAAATGTATTCTGAGACAAGGAATGTTTACATACAGTGTAGGTAGCAAAATCTCCCAAAATCCATAATGTTTTTAACCCACATTAAAGAGCTTCCAAGCTGCCAGAATGCTGTGTCATGTAAAAGCCTGGAAATTCAAGCATCATGTATCACAAAACAAAGAACTGTTTTGAACTGAAAATTTGTTTGTATAAAGGTTTAAAGGTGCTCTAATACCACATGAAAGTAGAAACTCAGAAGAAGCGATAGTTTCTTAGTTTGAATTCTTGTGACGTCATGTGAAAACCAAGAATTTCAATTTGGATTTAAGAGTAGCATTTCTGCTAAAAATCTCTGAAAGAGAAATACTGAATAAAATGAAATAAAAATAGAAATAGTCCAATTAAAATACATTTATATATACATGTAGACATCAATTACACCAACTATAATCATAACTATAACAAAATTGTCAAATCTGATTGGCTATCAACTGCCCTGATTTCAGCCTTAATTGGACAGTTTAATAGGACAGTACACGTCATGCCTATAAGTAATTGGACAGTATGTGCCATCACGCGCACGCTTAAATGGCTTTTTTTTTTTACTGCTAGCAAAACAAAATTTTGAATTTCTTGTGTTTTGATTTAAAAATAGCCTATTATGTTACAAATTTTGTTAAAGTTATGATTAATTGGTAACAGAACGTCATGTCGTCCAATTCGGTCTGTAATCATACGCGAGATTAAACAAATCGATTTTGTTAATCACTCGTATGATTACAGACCGAATTGGACTCCACTCAGTCCTGTTACCATTACATTATATACAACTATATATCAAAAGGCTGATTAACACTAATCCAGGCTTACCTGTAAATTTAATCTGAATTTGTTTTTCTTTTGTTCAAATGAATTTTCTCAGATGGATTTTCTCCTTTTCCTTTTTTAATATCCCATCATCAGATTGTAGACAATTATATGAATTGAACAGTATTTGGTGTTAAATCAAATTTCTACTTAGTTCGTTCACAAAGTTCCTTGTAACAATAATTGTTATTATTTTATTTCCTTTTTTTTCCCCCTAATTTCTTAGTAATTTAACATATTTTATTTGTTTTGATTTTCAGCGTATTAAAACTATCTGTTTTGCTCTACCAGCCTAGATTAGCCCTGCTATTTGCTGGTAGAGCAGTTTTCTAATATTTTCTTTTAAATTATTATTTGTATCTAAGAATTACAGACTGGTCAAACAATAATGTTAAGTTTACACTGTCTTGTACATGATTTAAATGCTACAAAACTAAAATTCTATTCTGAAGATGACTACGTACAACTGTACAGGTTGTCAAAATGTCTGTCACTGTTAAGAACAGTGCTATTCCCACACAATCATTATCCAGATTCGGTCAGTGTAAAACGCAGACTGCGGACTGCGGACTGCAGACTGTGGACCAGGGGTCAAATGCAGACTGTGTGTAAAATGCAGACTGCAGACTGAGAGTAAAACGCAGGCTGGGGTAAAACGCAGACCGAGCATAAACTGTTGTCGTGGAAGGGTTCAAGGGCCATAAAATCCCGCAAATACATGTAAACGAACACTTACTTGAAGACATCTGCTTTCACAAATCCATTCAGGACTTACTTCTCAAGAACGTTGTAGACAACCAAAAAAAACATATAATCGCAATCTTGAACCTTTTTTCCATCCGAGAGACTTCACGCTTCAACTTTAAACGCGAAGTTTTCGATATACACGACCAGTGACCGTGAATTGGTAACACCACGATGTTTACGCTTAAATGAAAGCTGCTGACCCAAAATACTGTACAGGAGGAATTATGGTGATAAAAAGGGAGTAAATCATTCCAACAACAAAAAAAGATGTTCTGCAGGAAATTTGGATGACCTTCTATGAAAGTATTGCAAATCAAGGTACACAGATTTAACCTGTTCGGATGTTCATTGAAACTTCTGGCGAATGTGCAATGCACCTTGACTAGGAAGCGAAGTGTGTAGCTGATACTGGCTAGCTATTTCACCGATTTGGAGAAGAAGGAGCACAAATGTTTAAAAAAGTCTACACTCTTTATTCTGCATTTTGCACCCAGCCTGCGTTTTACTCTCAGTCTGCAGTCTGCATTTTACACTCAGTCTGCAGTTTACCCCTGGTCCGCAGTCTGCAGTCTGCAGTCCGCAGTCCGCAGTCTGCGTCTTACACTGACCGTATCCAGATTATCTTCCTTCTTATGAAATGACTCCTAGGTTCATTTTGGTTACTTTTTACAGATCAATTCAAAACTTCAACATCCCCACAGGCAAAAAAATACAACAATAAAGGTAAGCTTAAGGAAGTCTGCATGAAGCTTCAAAACATTCGCTTTGTATACATAAAAAAAAATTAATAAGCTTTTATACAAGAACAGCAAAGGTCAGTTAAAAATCCCGAATGACATGTTTACTCACATTTGAATTTGGCGGCATGATTTTCGGGACTTTCCATCATCAGAAGATAACTGAACATTTGTAAAATAACCAACTATTTGCCCGATATACTTTTGGTCCACATGCACGAGGGGATATGATAGGCCAACAGTCCACAACTTCTCAACGAACTACCTTCGAAAGATCGACATTATGAAATCGAGTCGTGCCTTGAGTATCACGTGACCATTCTCAAATCGGTAGTTTCGACAACGAAGCACTCGAAAACGAAGACCGAAGCACGAAGCACCCAAAACTCGAAAACGAAGCACCCAAATCTCGAAAACGAAGCACCCAAAACTCGAAAACGAAGCACCCTAGATCGAAAACGAAGCACCCTAAATCTCGAAAACGAAGCACCCTAGATCGAAAACGAAGCACCCTAAATCTCGAAAACGAAGCACCCAAAACTCGAAAACGAAGCACCCTAGATCGAAAACGAAGCACCCAAAACTCGAAAACGAAGCACCCAAAAACTCGACACCGGTCTTTCCTTTATAAACACGAGACCAATGTAAATACAGCAGAAATCAAGCGCGATAACGAGTATTCGATAACGAATCGAATGCAGTTCAAATCTACTCAAGTTGTAAATGCATTTCCACCGCTGCGTGGGAGGCCCGGTGGGAGGCTATGTTTTGGACGTGATCAGAAAACTGAGAACGCCCAAACTATTTCTAGAATATTACTGTATTGCCGTATTACTGTATTGCAAGTATCCCCGTACAAAAATGATGAGCGTTTTCTATTCCATTCCTCGTTAAAGGCCATTTGCAAATTAGTGTAGTTAAAGGTGGATCGGTGGCATAAAAAGCATATCTTCAGGCTTCGCCCCACCGACCTCCTTCTCAGTAGCTTAACTCTCCTTTTTTTATTCGCTCCTTTTATTTCAAAATTCTCCTGTTCCCCACCATAGAGCCTGATCCCAGGCTATTACCCTAGAACAAATTCTGCCTGGATCTGATCTGATCTGATCACGCAGTGGCATAAATATCCGATATGGTAGACTGCAAAACATTGGGTTTTTTTCTCAAAATCAGTAAAGAAGTCGGTAAAGCGTGGCGTAAGAGTAATACGCGCGAGCGTCACACTCCGTTTTCAGCCTCGTTTCAGACCTTTAGTGTTACTGCTCACGCGTACTTGAATACGCCAAAATCTGCTGACGGACAGTTTTTTCAAGTCTACATAGGGCGCGATCCATTCAACCAAAATTCCAACCGGTCCGACCGGGAAAAGAGGACCACCTCAAAAGGTGGACCCGTTTTTTCGAAACTTTTCCGGTTGGACCGAACCGATCCATTGAGTTTTGGACCGAAATTTCCGGAAAGTTTGGTTGAATGGATCGCGCTCATAAACATGCATGTGTACCGAAAAAACGCATATTAAGGTAAGATGTATCAAGTATAGCGAGACCAATAATAAAATTAATACACTATATCCCATCTAGAAACGTTCAGTTAAACAGTTGGCAGGCTCTTATAAAACCTTGGGATGGATTTTGTGGACCTTTGGAGGTGCGGATGCATCCGCTGCTTCCACCTGATTCGGATTGCGTCATGCAAGACGTACAGCCGACAGTGGTTTCGAGTTTTGGGTACTTCGTTTTCGAGATTTGAGTGCTTCGTTTTCGAGATTTTGGGGTCTTCGTTTTCGAGTTTTGGGTGCTTCGTTTTCGAGTTTTGGGTGCTTCGTTTTCGAAGGTTTAGGGTGCTTCGTTTTCGAGTTTTGGGTGCTTCGTTTTCGATCTAGGGTGCTTCGTTTTCGAGATTTGGGTGCTTCGTTTTCGAGTTTTGGGTGCTTCGTGCTTCGGTCTTCGTTTTCGAGTGCTTCGTTTTCGAAACTACCTTCTCAAATCGCGCTTTTTTCTGCGCGACGATTAGTACCGAACCCGCAAATGCATGCAAGAAGAAAATGACGACTTTTTCGCTTTAAGCTATCATATTTAAGAGGAGAGGAGACTATGGGGTTCTTTGAAATCCGAAAACCAATTAAATGACATTTCAAAGATTGGTTTTCCCTATTAAAATGAGCATAACCATAGTTAATAGAGGGAATGGTTATGAAACCCGACAAAGTTCTTTGTTGTATGTTTTTGTTCTCTTTTTTGGCCTTGACCCTGCACAAAACACAATAGTTGTTTACTCCGTACTGAGGAACTAACCAATAGAAACGTGCTGGTTACGTAATTCATGCATAACGTATGAACGCAAAACAAAAGATTGTGCAGGGTCGTGGACCTTCTAACATAAATCTTGGCATCTTTGTTTGCTCCTTTGATGTTTGCCGGGCTTCATAACCAGTCACCTCCATTAACTATGGCATAGCAAAGTCGTCCACTGTAACCGGAAGTCGGAGCAAATCAGATCCCAGTTTCTGAAAACTGTACTAGCTTTCTAAAAATCCACGAAGAGTGAGTGCTCTTGCTTTCAATTATCCGAATTACTTGACGGTTGATTATTCAACTACAATAAAGTACAAAGGCCCGGTTCAGACGCCGAACTTTTCTTGAGCCGAACCTAATTCGAATTTAAGCCGACGCAAACTATTTAGACCGCCTGAATTGATTCAGACGCCGATCTTAATTCCAGCCGAACTAAATTCAGAAGGAGAAATATGCTCATTTTGGTCTAACTGCTTGCAAAATACGTTATTAAAATTTATGCATTAGGTTCGGCTGAGCCGTTCCAACTTAAAATAGGCCTTCCTAATTGATTCATACGCACGTATACGCCGAACTTGTCATGTGCTTAATTCAATCATATGCATCAATGTATTAGGTTCGGCTTAAGAAAAGATAGGCGTCTAAACCGGGCCTTAGACGACGATCGTTCCCTCCTACCTACAACCTACCTAGTCAGTAGCTTGTGACTGCTGTTGCCTTGAATGCATCCACGAAGAAAATACGGCTGGAAGTTATCTGAAGTTATACAACAAAGCAGCGACCTCGGAGTAAAATGAAAACAAACCACTTGGGCATTGCTATATATAGTAGCAAGTACAAAATGATCATGGGACAGTAATTCAGTCACGCGATTGGTTACAAGCAAAGTAGACTTCCGCACGATACAAATACAATGTAAAATAAAATATATATGGTCGTTATTTTACATATTTCTCCTTTATTCGGTTGGAGCACATCATAACAGATTTAGGTGTTCTAAGATTGACTGAATAACATTTTGCTTTCCTCAAAATGAGCAGCAATGACTTGAGCCTGTTTTTCTTTTCTTTTTTGCTTTTTTTTGCTTTTTTCGGTAAAACCGGAAGTGGATCTCGGAAGCTTTTTACAATGGAACCTCGATAAAACGTACCTCTACATAACGAAGACCTCAGTATAACTAACGATTTTCTTTACCCCAGTAATAGTAAACTAGACTGAATACGTGAATCGCAGGACCTCACGAGGGACTTAGGGGGAACGGCAAGAAGAGTGAAAGGGAAATAAGGCAAAAGGAAAGAAAATTTACAATTTAAAAAACTTAAGCTGTATAGAGAAACACAACAAAACTGCAATAACGAAAAAGTAAACTACAATAAAAGAAAAAGACACAAAGAAGAAATAAGACGCTTAATAGAAAGGAAGAACAGGTTCCGCCAGTAATTCTACGCGCCGCTTGTACCGTTACCACTAGGCCATGCACGTGGAACACACTGAGAAAGGTCTCGAATTTTATTTCCCACGCCAGCGCGACCTGTATAAAGTTGATCGAGCCCCATTAAACATGAATTGAACGATATTTTTGAGAAGAATGACTGCTGTTTTGAGGGTGAAAACCCAACGTAAACGCATTTCATCGCATTTAAAGAACGGATGCCCAAATAGCTCCAACTATACTGAGTAAGCCGACACGGCAGGCTCGTCTTTTCGCTCCTTTTTTAAGGCTTATTATCCAAAATCGCTTTCATTTGCTCTTAAAAGTACTTTTCCATTCGAAATTCATTGCAAAAAGCACTTATCGACTCCTAAAACGCGCGGCCGCTAAAACAACCAAACCGATAGCTGATATGACCAAAGCAAGACACTCTTCGATGCTGCCTGGAAGCACAAACTGACGTCAGGGAGGACACCATCGCGATATATACAAGTATACAGCTAGTTCGAGAAAGTTTGTCGGAAAAAAGTGCACGCGACAAACCCGAAAGGTAATATGGGATACGATCAGTGTCACTTCCTGACACTGTAGCTGTCGAACCTACTTTTGAAGAACAGTGAACTCAAAACCACCCACAATACCTTTCGAGATTGTCGCTTGCACTTTTTCCGACAACTTTTTTCGAAATAGCTGTAGATGGGCCGGCCGACTTTACAGGTTGCTAACACCACGCGCGGTACACTCGCTTTGCGCTTGACGAGATTATAAGAGACAATCCGCCCAAGGCGCCTCGCTTCGCTCGGAAATATATGAAAAAGAGCCTCGATCTACGAAACTTTGGCCCTTCGTTATATCGAGGTTCCACTGTACTTTCAAACATAACCTCAAGGTCTTTGTGCATGGGAAGATAGGACGAACCACAACTTCTAGCAGAGAGCCGCAAGTTAATGATCAAATCACGCAGCTCCATGAATCCCTGGAGTGCCTCATGGCCATATACAGGAGCCAATAATCGGCTCCTGCTATTTTCATTGATATGTTTGCTCCGAAATGGGTACGCGGGCCCCATAATTTAGCACGTTTTCCCTCCTGGGACCCTTGCATTAACCCTGGGTATTGAGCGTGGTATTTAAATGTTTTGCCAACATCAGGATCACTTTTCAGATCGCTTTTCTATGCGTTCATGCCCCGAGAGGGCATATATACTTGCCTTTTTTAGCCCCCCCTCCTCCCCTCAGCGACGAAAACCCGGTTATGCTGCACTACTTCGCATACGCGGAAATTATTTTCGCCCATATCTTATATAGTATTCCCCGCGTGTGCCATAGAGGTGCAGCATATCAATGAAAATTCTCCTACTATATACCTTTCCACGGTTTTTTCAACTTTTGATATGGACAAGTCAGGGAAAATTCGTCGAAACCACTGGAAAAAGCCTCTTAAAAATAATAAAATTACTAAGTTAGAAAGTGATTTGTTGAAAACTTTAAAGATATATAGCTCCTTAAAGTCGCAAAATTTTACAGACGCTTGTACGGTGGGGGCACAAACTTGCCCCCCACGTGATACAACAAAGGTCTTTAAATTTTCGAAACTTTCCCGGAGCTATATCTTTGCTCAATCAAAACATATCACGTGGTAATGACGGATTTTCTTTAACTGGTCTATGTAAAAAGTTGAAAAACCGTGGAAGAGTCTATTCTCCTTGAAAAGGGCGCGCAGACGTATGTGCTCTACCTGCAACTTGTGTAGTGAATGTCCATATTTTTCTCTCTAAATTGAGAGGTTTTTTGATTCTCCAAAAAGAAATTGAATCAGATTTGGCTTTTAGTTTCCCTGAAAGAGCAAGGTTTGTCTCCATGATCGATCGTGTACTGTTATCAGGTAAGTCAGTGGAGATGCCCAGTTTCCGAAGTAAGTCAGGTACTTGGGTTTCTTATGACTGCTATCACATGTATACTTAGTTTCCCTGAATGAGCAAGGTTTGTCTCCATGATCGATCGTGTACTGTTATCATGTAAGTCATTGGCGATGCCCAGTTTCCGAAGTAAGTCAGGTACTTGGGTTTCTTATGACTCCTATCACATGTATACTGGTATTTCTTACTTAACAACGCAGGTAAAATTTAGTAAATTTCTTGGTGTAGTATTTATCGATGAAAGAAAACATTAATATATATAGTTCTAAACAATTATCTAAATTTAAATTAATTAGGATTATATGCAAAGTCAGTCACTCCTACTCTTCTCAGATCGATTTACTATGCTTTGATATACCCATATCTGTTCTATGGTAATGTGGTTTGGGGAAATAAACAAGTATGTGGACAGGATTTTTAAGCTGCAGAAAAAACTTGAACGGATCATGCTGTTTAATGAATATAATCATAAATCAAAACCTTTATTTCAACAATTGAATATTCTCAATATTTATCAAAATAGATAAATTTGTTATTGAATAATCAACTTCCTCGGGCGTTAACAAGTATTTTCAAAAAAATTTATCAAATCCATGATCATAACACTCGTTTAAATAAACATCTACATAAGCCCTTGAGTAAAACAACGTAGGAATATTTGCAGTTGCAAACAAAGGGGTATATATTTATAATAGCTTTTTGGCATAAATGGCCTGTCCATGAACTTGTGCTTGTGATCCCCCCTCCACCCCTTATCAAAGTTGCTACCAATACAAGACCATGCTCAAAACTTGGAGGAACAACTTTGAATGGGAGGGAGGAGGGAGGTTAGTATTACATCTCACAGACCTGTGACCAGGAGCGACCTGAAGCAAGAAAGGTCGTTTTTTCGTGGGAGTGTCTCAACATTTTTGCAACTAGTTGTAGCTTTCAACCAATTTCACCTGGCCTGGGCGTGTTCCAGGGTCAGAGCAGCTCTCCATCCCTTATTATCATATCTGTAATAACCATACCCAGGGAGAAGTATTATACTATGCTCTGTCTCTAGTCGTGTTTACTAAAACACTGACAATAAAACACCCCTTCTGCCAACAGCCGAGCTTTGTTTGCTAGAACGCATAAGTGTGAAAACGAAGAAAATGGAGACTCAGAGGTCTGGGATTAAAATCATGGCCAAGTTAATGGCCGGTTTTATTAAAAACTGCAAAATCATCTTATTAATGTTAATATATGAAATAATGCTAAGTTCCAACGTATTTAGAGGTTTAGCAAAGTTGAGGGCTAGAAGGAAAGGCAACCAAACTACAGTACCTAAAGCAAATAAAGTAGGCGAAAGATTGGTGCGGAACGGGGTCGATTGCTTCTTCAAAAGATAAGGCTATCAAATGTTAAGCTTGCAGACCAGAGGATTAACAAAAAAAAGTACACCCTCTTATAAAGGGTCTCCGCAAGATTATGAGATCGAGGCTTAATAATTTTACTGCGAGTGGCCCTATTGTAGGGTCTCGTGAATATTGCTAAAAACGGTAATTCTTCTTAATTCCGTCTTGTGATTTTCATGCGATCGTAGGCCATTGTAAGAAAGTTCAAAGTTGAAATACGAGAGCCTTTTAAGCCGCAAACGACCCCCACCCCCAAAATTCCAGACATTAAAGGAAGGAGAATGGGAGATACAAAAATCTTTATTTGGTTCCAAATAAACTAATTTACAATATACTTTTCAGTGTGAGAAATGAGCGAAAAAATTTTCCAACGATGCTAAAATTCATATATATCCTTATCTTTTCTGTTATGACGAACTGAAAAGATTAAATGAAATTGACGAAAATTTCTGGCAGTTAGTCTTACAAACGTATTCTTAGCCTTTTCTATTTACAAATTTTACATTTCAGTCTCGGAAAAAAAAAACTATATCAGAGGTCATTTACACTTGTGTTGATCATTTTTTTTTGCAGGCAACCCGAAAAATGTTGAATGCGATTGAATCACATGATCTCCAAATCAATCCTACTTGTCCTTTTCAGTCGCCAACTTGAAGCACGGATTAAAAGTTCCATATCATTTAAAAGATAGTTCTGTTAATAAAGATATTTATCTTACCCATTTTTGAGGGGACCGCTCAATAAAAATTGACACCACATTTCCCGTTCAAGTTTTAGAAACAGTTCTACAGTGAAATAAAGCGAGCACTGAACTAGCTTCACGTGTTGGTCAACGTCAGGTTAATTTATGATAGGTCATTACTTAGTGTCTTTACTAAAACGAACATGTCCCTGTAGAGTTATGAAGAAGACATCAAATAATCTCATCATGAAGCACTAACCATAATAATTCTGGGGGTGCTTTTGTAGGCAAAGCATTAAGTTTCAATCCATGTCCATCCTGGCCATCCGTAGCAACGGAAGCCATAATGGTACTGCAAATTTAGCGTTTCTTGTCTTTACGGCAATACGTTTTAACCAGATCTTCCCTTTGCAAAGAATCATGACGTAACCCTACCTCTAACGCCTTGTAGGTTGCTTGGGGTCCAAACCTTTGTTTTCACAAAATCAACATGTTATAGCATTTTTCGCGCAATGTTTAGTTCCTTTCGTCCACTAGGTCATTTGTCAAGTCACGAACTCCCAAAGCATGGGCAAGATTTTTCCATTCTTTTCGAAGATCACATGATAGATCATAGAGTGTTTCAATCGTAATTTTATCAGTCTTTCTCAAGTTCGATTCCAAAGATTTCGTGTGAAGGACACTGCAAAGGCGTAATCTTGCCTGCTCTGCCTCGTAAGTGGCCTGGGCCCCATGCTCCGCTTTGCACAACTTCAGCTCTTCACAGTCATTTTCATCAACCCGTTGGTTTTCTTTGTCTGTTTGGTTAATTTTAGAATTGCGCGCTCCCGAAGTATTTCCAAAACACGTCTGAGCTGCTACAGGGTCAATAAACAGCTCAAAGAGTATCGCCAATGCAACTTCTTTAGGCTCTCCTTCATGAGAGTTTACTGACTTGCATACAGGGTCACCGGAAACCTCGTAGGAGCCTTGGAATTTACGCTCTCGTTTCATGAAGCCCACACTTAACAAATGTTCCGTTTTTGTAGAGAGCTTCTGTGCCAGCAACCGTTCTACTGCAAACAACTGCTCTCGTTCCAGCAAGTGCTGCTCTTTCATCAACAACTTCAAAAGACACAAAAGCTTTTCCCTTTCTAGGTTCCTGTACATAGACGAACATGTATTGAAAGCCAGGTTAAACAGTGTCCTTCCAAATTCACGGGCAAAACACTTCCATACTCGTTTTATCGTTTTTCCATCAGAAATTGCGTTTATCAAAACCCCAGATGGAGAAAGCTCTGAAAAAAAAATTGTAAAGGTTTATTTAGAAACTAAACAAATTTTCAGGGAAAGGTTTTAAAAAGCCTTACCATCGTCCTACAAAGACAGCGACGGAATCTCATGATCACATGCAACAACGCACGCAAGAAAGTAGTCTGCAAGAGAGACTCTAACCCCCACGCCCCCACGGATCAGTAGTGGGTAGAGACGGATGACATTGCAAACTAACAAGAAAACTGCTATAAAAAGGGTTTGAAAGGTTGAAAGGTTACCAATTTATCAACATTTACATTAAAATTAATAGATTGGTTATGAGCTGTTACATTAACCCTCGGACGTACATGCAAATTCATACCCCCACCGTGGTACAAGGGGGGGGGGGGGGGGAGAGGATACAATAGAAAACAAAAAAAAAAAATGTGATAAAAAGGGGTTAAAAGGTTGAAAAGTTACCAATTTATAAACATTTAAATAAAAATTAAAAGGTTGGTTAGGGGCTTTTACATTAACCCCCGGACGGACAGGGAAATTTATCCCCCCCCCGGGGGAAAAGGGGGGGGGGGGGGGGTAGATGAAATCCCCCTTACAGTTTTTGATATCTGGCAGTATTTCGAAACGATTTTACCTTCAGTGGAAAGCCTTTGATCTTTTCTACAAAATGAGGTATATTTTATTGGTGGTGGCGCTGCTGGGACCTGTGACCAACAATGGTCGCCATCTTGGCCGCTATCTTGGATTTTACCAAGAATTAGAAATCAGGGTAAAACCGCCAGAGATGGTGACTTTTTGTGATGGAGATGAAAAATAACACACGAATAAGCACTTTGGATGATTTTAGCCACATGATTTACTTTTATTGTTGAAAAAAGCCGAAAAAACATGTACTTTTACTAAAAAATGGCTTGACCACCTCCTACTTATGACGTCATATCTCGTAACCATAGAAACTGACCATCAATGAACTTGACTTAAAATGCGCACGAGAGATGAACAAACAGCTACTGAAAACATCTGGTGCTGATGTTTTACCCTCTAGGAGAAAACCCCTCTCCCCCCTGTACTTCCGAGGGTTAATCTTATCCATCGGGGGTAGAAGCGGAATCATTTGAATCTTGATTTTCATAATTCCTGTCGTCTTTACCTCAATGATTCATGATTCCTACGAAAATTTTCTTCCAAAAGAAGACTTTTGACTTCATTTAATAATTTTCTAAATGGTTACTTAGTCTCGTTTTGTATAGTTTTTTTGATGTTGAACCTTCGGTTTTCATCGAGAATTATGTAGATTTCTCGACTACTGTTTCTCTGTATCATCATTCGTTTTGTCCAGATATGGAGTTTTTTGTTACTGAAAATCAAGCACCAGTGTCACTGGAGAAACAAGCAGACTGTCAGCCCCGAATGGACGAATTATATAGGGGGGTCCGGGGGCATGCTCCCCCGGGAAAGAAATTGAAAATTGAACTCTTGGAAACGCCATATCCTATATTCGCTGGATCGAACGCAATCACTTCATACGTCTATTTTGTTGCACTTTTCTTAGAGTCTCGTTATTGAAGATTCCCGAGCCGAAGTACAAAGATTCATGATTCCCCAGTTTTAAAAACAAAGATTCATGATTCCTACAAGTTTTGTAACTATGATCCACCTCCAGACCAGTGTTTTTTTTTTGCTTGCTTCAACCGCTCAAGATGCCGCCACCAGAATTATACAGAATAATGTCATTATTTCCAACATTTAGGCATAACTGGACTGGTACAATGACGTAATTTGAAGTCATTATAACGTCGTATTGTTGAATGTATTGGCAGACGCGGGTGCAAATCAAGCGAGTACCTCTCCAAACACCAAACTTTTCCCAGTCAAAGTCCTGTAGTCAGAACCTATCGTTAACGACCACCTCTCTTAAGAGTCTTAAGCGACCGCGACGATGAGACGTTCTAAGAACTTTTCATTGTTTCTACCCTCCTGTAGATGGCCATTTGACGCATGGTTTGATCTCCATATAATCGCGCTGTATGCATACAAGTCAATGTATACGACAACATGAACCTGCACAATTGGTAAACTAGAAATTACCTACAATGAATTCTCGTCCAAAATGTACATGAGTTCGGACCTTTTTTAGAAAGAGACCCTTGGATTCAATTCTCGTAAGCGACCACTAAATCCTCGTATTGTTTCCCTGCTAGCAGAGGTCTCTCGCGACGAGGCAAAAATGAGAGAAAGGAGAGAGTCTCTCTCCTTTCTCTCATTTTTGCCTCGTCGCGAGAGACCTCTGCTAGCAGGGAATCGTATTGTTTGCGGTCGCTTATATCCGAGGGTCGACTGTATGGTGATTATGACTGTGAAAGGTTAAAAAAAATACGTACCTAAATTGACAGTTGGTGGTAACTCCAACGTCTGTGAAAAACAAAAAATATAATTCATGTCAGCTAATGCCATAAATAGTAAACCTGAAAAAGCAGAAATCACTGAGAACTCACCGAAAACCTGTAGCAGTTAAATTCATAATGGAAGTAAAACGTGCTATACAATTCGCCTTAGAATTAGGATGGTACCATATTTTGAAAAGCACTGTAAAAAATATACCAAATTTTGGTCTCGCTTGTTGCTAAAAGTATTTTTAGAATCAGGCGGATCATCTGCCCCTGAATTCAAGTTCCCTAGTCCTCTGAGAGAATAACGCGATATCAGGGTTTTCGATAAAATCTCAGAAAGAAAGTGAGAAAGCCATAAAGTGCAAAAAGTATAAAACGATCGAGAAGCAAACAAAACTACGTTAAAAATACTTAGAATAGCTGCGAAAGAGGACAAACATCGGTAAGCTAACAGAAGGGACACAAGGGTGAAAACAAAACTACACCGTTGTGCCTCCGAGTACAATTAATATTAACCAATGGGAGTTTGACAAATATTAACCAAACCAAAGTTAGCTTTCATCCCAAGCATGCCTACTTCAAGATGACACTCAAATTGATGAGTTAGACTATAAAATTGTTGACAACTACAAACCTAATCAAATCAAGACCACGCACGGTAGAGGGTGGTAAAGGGTATTTTCGTGAACCATGAATTGCCTGTTTTATTCGCCGTGAATTGTGAAATCACCTTTCTATTCCTCGTGAAACGTGATTTTGGTGATTTATTTTTTCTTCTGAAACGTAAAACGCCGAATTTATTGTCCGTGAAATGTGAAACGGCCAGTTGATTTTACATGAAAAGTGATCAATACCCACCCCCCCCCCCCCCCTTCCCCCCCCCACCCCCCAAAAAAAAAAAGCCCACACCAAAATCTTTACCCAAAAGCTGCACCCACGAGCGGGGCCCCGGGGGAGGGCCCCCCCCCCTCTTTTTTCGACTAACTCGGCCCCCCAGCGCGACAGACAAGTTTATGTATACAGGTATAGATCTAAATGGTGGGGGGAGGAGAGGGTGGTTTCTTGAAGTCCTAATTTTCCTTTGTTTTGGCCGGTGATTGTTTTAACCTCTTTTTTTTCCCCGTGGAAGCGTTTTTTGGTGTTTTTTTTTTTTCTTTTGAAAGGGAAACGCCGAATTTTTTTGCCCTGAAATGGGAAACCGGCCGTTTTTTTTTAAAAAAAAGGTGACAAACCCCCCCCCCCCCCCCCCCCCCTTTACCGTCCCCAACGTACAAACATAAATCGGCCAATACCATTTGTTATACAAAGTGGCGGATCCAGGGGAGGGGCCCGGGGGGCCCGGCCCCTCCCTTATTTTTAGACCAAACTGAGGCCCGAAGGGCCGAGAAATTTTTTTGGGAGACCGGCCCCCCCTCCTTATGTCAGGGTCTGGATTACCGGGCACCCCCCTTATCTGAAGGTCTGGATCCGCCACTGATACAAACTTCCCAAAACACCTGCAAAACCTTGTAAAACCCTTTAAAAGAATGTTGCACGATACTACACAATAAACCATCCAAAAAGATTTATACTTTGTATTATTTATAAGTAGGAGGTTAATTTTAAGAGATATTACAATAATGACCCATACATGATGATCATAGAAACGTCTTTCCAAGATAAAGACATGAGTGCCTGGAGTCAAATCCCGTATGGTTAGTGCTTGGGTGGACTCTTCTTCTGTTACCCTGTCATTCTTGATCTCAGATGCTTAAAGTTAACAAAGACATTATTATTTGATCAAATGTTTCTCCCTTTCAAATACACCTCTTTAGCTTTTATGTTTTGTTTTCCGAATGAAGGTCTCAGCGGAGGTAGCCTGCGTTGCAGCCGGCCCACGCACTCCACTGAACCATTTGAATACGACTGTGCTAAAACGCAGACGATAGATTCTGGACGATAGACGATAGACGATACCATTTTTACAGACATTTTTACGACGGTCATAGTTACTACAAACTATGTGAGGCTTGTTACACGAGCGTTTATTAATTATTTTAAAATTCAAATTTGTCACTCAATCGCGGGCAACCTGCGATCAGGCGATGTTTTTTTTGGGCGGGGGAAAAAATTCCCTTGCAAACAAAAAAAATCGCCTGATTGCTGGTAACGGCAAAAACGAATAGATGTTTTTATCGGTCTTAACGTGTTGCCAACACTTAAGACACTTTATAAAATAGAATCCGTGAAAGAAAAAAGCACAATGGTTTATAGGATTTAGATCCACACATTGGTTAAAGCGACCTTTATTGTCATTACATTTTTTAGGAAAAAGGGAAAAACAAATGTGAAGAGCACGTGAATTCACGCACGCGGTTTTGCTCCGGCGTGCAAATTTTTGAACTTTTTCGTCAAATTTGTCACCAAAACTTGCTTATTTTCCTCAAATCTAATTTTTAAAACTGCTCGACTAGCTTCAAACAACGTTTTCTTTCAAACTTTCCAGGGCCAAATGCGTTGTATAAAATGTTTTTCACTGTGAAAAGCGTGTTACCCTGCGAGCAGAGTCTCCTTCGATCATCTAGGAAGATCGAAGGAGACTCTGCTCGGAGGGTAAAAGCGTGTAGGATTCACTGGTGTAATGGTTAAGCTCTCTTCCTAGTATGCGTGAGGTTCTCTGGGGTGCGGATTCCAGCCCGCCGAAGTTCTTCTTTCTTGCTAGGGTTGTTGTTCTTGTTGTTGTTTTGTTTGTTTGTTTTTGATCCGTCGGCCCTTTCCCTTCAGCTTCGCAAGGGTCTGCGACACACGTATTTCTAGTTTTAAATGAGCCATTGTGACATGAAAAGTGAGGCCGAGATTTGCCCCCTCAAATTAAAATAAAAATGTATGTGCTAAAACTGGAGCATCTCAAGCTTGAATTTCATTAAAAAGTCTTTGACAATTTGACAATCGTCCACCGTCTATCGTCTATCGTCCAGAATCCATCGTCTGGGTTTTAGCACATTTTGAATACATGTACAGCTATTTCGAGAAAGGTTGTCGGAAAAAATGCACGCGACAACCCCGAAAGGTATTGTGGGTGGTTTTGAGTTCCATGTTCTTCAAAGAAATGTGAAGGAATTGCACTAGAGGCCATGGACGTTTGTTTGCGAGTGCTAAGGAAAGCAAAAAAAAAAAAGTAGGTTCGACAGCTACAGGAACAGTGTATTGATCATATCCCATACTACCTTTCGGGATTGTCGCGTACACATTTCTTCCGACAATCTTTCTCAAAATAGCTGTATGCAGAAGGTTTAGAGCGTCTGCGACGCAGGAGAGTCTCAGGGGAATTTGACTGTTTGTCTTTTCAAGAATAATGCCTACAAACAGTATGCACGTGAACAAGACGAAATTTGGAGAATATTGTCACATGACCTTCGTTGGGAAAACAAAACATACAAGCTGAAGAGATCTTTCGGCCTGAAATCGCACGATAATTCTTCAAGACCAACTACCCTTGGTCAACTATGGAATATTTTTGCCGATACCATGTCACGTTTACATTTAATGGAACAAAAACACAAAGCATATGGTGCGGTAGCTCAGCTGTTTTGGTAGCGCTGGAGATTATGACACGCTATTTCCAGCACAAGTTTTGCGAAGAAGAAATAGCCGTACGACGAACTACTGCCTAGAAGATAAAACAAGAATAGCTTTCGCATGGTGAATAATTTTGCATAACACCTGCATAATATATGCACCTTAATGCCATATAAACATTGCCCTTGAAAAGTGCTTATATATAGTTAAAACGAGATGCTAATAAGTTACTTCTTCTCTAGACTGCCTTTTTGTAAGCTTCAGAGAAGGTTGATCGAGCAGGAGTGTTACTTGACTCGTGATATAGGTAGTAGAATACTACGCACTATTGTGCACTAATTCTGTTGTCTTCTTTTGTTTATCTGTTGCTATTATTTACTAGTTGTTAGTATCTGTTTCACGGGTCAAGTAAAATCACTCTATACCAAAATAAGAGTAGGATGTACTGACTACACAGTTAGTAACTGTTAAGCAAGACTTACTCGCCATTTTAATTTTTTTTTTACACGAATCTCAAGTGAAATAAGGTGTTAAAAAGTAGGAATGAGGCATGGGGCACTGTACCTTTAGGCTTGACCAAGATTACTTTTATAGGAAAAAACTTCGATAATTCTGTGAACTCTCCAGTTTCTTCTTTATCCAAACAAGAAGAACTTTGCTCCCCAGCTAAAGAAATGTATTCACTTGAGCTTTCTCCCTTGGTGGATTCTTCTATTATCCTCTCATCCTTGGTGAATGATGCTCTCGATAAAAACGGCATTGGAAGGTCATCATACTCACTGATGTTTTGCACTTCACTGGAAATTTCGTCTTGTACACAACGCTCTGTTAGCAAAAACAAATTCTATCAGCGATTCTTAAACAATAAATGAACAAAGGCCAAGGAGAACGATTGACGAAAAAAATTCCTGCAAGCATTTCTCCTTGTCCTCACATGATAGCCACCGTGCCATAGTTCATTTTAGAAGACATTCTTTTTCCCAGACGTAATTAATAACAGCTATATCAGTGGCGGATCCATGGGAGGTGCCCGGGGGGGCCGCCCCCTTATATTTAGACCAAAATGAGGCCCAAACGGCCGAAAAAAATTTTTTTAAACCAACCCCCCTTATCTTAGGCCGGGTCTGGATAACCGCCCACCCCCCGCCACCTCCCTTATCTGAAGGTCTGGATCCGCCACTGTATATAGCGACGAACATGACAAGGTGAAAGGTAAACATGGCAATTGCAGTTCTCCGATAGAAGAAGGAAGCAATGACCCTTTGGAAAGGCTGGTGTTAGAATGAGAGGTCGGCCATATTTGGGGGCGGGGACTGCAACGATAGAGATGGGGAGGTGGGAGAGAGAAGCCTTTACAGGGCACACAAACCTACCCTTGTTTTCGGAAATTCCACACCACCCAATCTCATCGTCAAAGGATCCACATGAAGACGTTTCAGCATCAGCAAAGTAATCACTTGAGTCATCGTCTTCATCATCAGACAGGTCCACGCGTGTCGGTGATTCAAGTGTCGCCACTGAAAAGCAACCAAAAAAGCCAAGTGTCCAGCATTATTATCTAAACAGCCAAAGAGAGTTTAACATACAGGACATTCGAAAAGGCACGTCTTTTATGGTTACCGCTAATGAAACAAATAAACAAAAGAAGACAATAGAATAACACTAAGTACACGATAGCTCGTTGTATTCTACTACCTACTTTTCATGGGTTAAGTAAATTCATAAAGGAAATAAAGGGAGATGTAAAGAATCAACCATAAGATGACACAGAAAAAATCTGAGCCCCAGATTTTTTCTCTGTCCTCTTATGGTTGATTCTGGGATTTAGTCTCCCTTTATTTCCTTTATTCCCTTTATTTCCTTTATAATATTAATATCAGTGGCATAGGTAAGTAAATTCAGTTAACTAAAACAAAGCTAGGGACTAAATTGTCTACACTGCAGAGTATAATGCAAAGATTGGAAACAGCTATAAATTTGAGTGTTTGTTTTATAAGTGATATTCTTTTATTTATTGTTACTGCTTTGTCTGCTCATTCTATTGAATTTTTTCCCGCAAATGTTATAGTATTATTATTACTTACCAGATCAGTCGGTAGCAATATTTTGATTAGCTCCCGTAACTCGAAATATTCTTGGATTGTAGTGTTTTGGGATGGGAGGCAATAAATAGCTTCCCGTTCCCCGAAAAATGAATCAGTCGCACCATCACAAAGAAAGCAACGGGATATTGTATTTTCGATGTTTAGACTGCGGTAAATTAATATTTGGTAACTGAAGTTGACATAAAATCTTGCACGCTTTTTCATTCTTAGTTCTTAGCCGACAGATTTGGTAAAAACTAAAACAGTTACCCCCCCCCCCCCCCCCCCCCCCCCCCCTCCCCCCGTTGCGCGGTTACTAGTTGGTTATCGATCCTAAAAACAAATATGAGAGATCAAAGTAGAAAACAACAACACAATACACCGAAGATAAATATGACACCACACCCACCAGCACACACCACCTCTTAACTACTATACAACCCCCCCCCCCCCCCCCCCCACTTTTTGTCCCCTTTGGGGGATAGCTGTATAGTATAGCCAATTTCAAAAAGAAGGTGGTCATCGGTCAAACAAAATGACAACGCTTTTTCAACGACGCTTATAATCAGTCCAGGAGAAATCCACTCCTGCATATTCATATTCCTGCCATGTGATCATGATTGAACGAGAACAAACCAAAACAAAAGAAGTGCGACCAAGAGAAAATAGAACCACGAAATAGATACAATAACTTCATACATTGACCAGATTAATAAATCTTTTTAAGCTACTACATCTCTACAGACATTTCTCTACAGACAGTCTTTGTTCTCGCAGTCGACTAAAAGCTCTAAGATCCCATTATCGGTAACGTCATCATAGTATCCAGAAATGGATACCTCCTGGACTAAATAACGTTTACAATAACGAACCCTAATATTTCAACCAAAGCCCGGAGCTAGTGGCTACACAACACTTGTTTTAACAGTGAAAACGAAACAAAATGAAATAGAACCTGACAAGAACACGCATCAATGACATTAACATGCAATTAGATTGGAAACAAAAGAAAAGAAAGAAAATTCAAAAGTTGTAAATATCATTTTTTTTTAGTTTACTTACAAGATTGTTTCTGCACTGCTTCTTCAAGTTCTAACCAGTCAATTAGAGTGGAATGAGCATTTCTATTGGGGAACAATCTGTAAGTACAAAGGTAACAAAACGTTACAAGCTGAGTCAAAAATTTTTCACCAAAATTTCACCAAGCGTATTCCACCAGCAATAGAGAAACCTGTTTTCAAAGAAAAAATAAATTATATATTTGGTCCACGACAGGTGAACCGACAAAATTCAGATTAAAAGATTTGAAGAAAAAAGAACTGAAGTAAATGTGGGTTAGAGTGACACACAATTTGAAGCATTTGGGAGACATCCTTTAATGGCAAATTAATAACAATTTTAAAACAAATGCACCTGTTTTTTTCATCAAGAAATGTAAAAATGAAAGTTACACAGATGAGTTCAGAAATTAGTCAAAAAATCAGAATAATTAAATTGTGTGATCTACTTGGTCGGGCTAAGGTTTTGAGATGCCAAGATCGATTGCACTGACTAATTTGAATTAAGGATTGGTCAAAAAGTGCAGGGGGTAGGGGGAAGAGGACAAGAAAAATACGGGAAAGAAACACTGTTTTTAATGCTTGAAAAAGGGGTAGTTATAGTAAGTAAAATTCGTGCCTCATAAACAGTGAATATGGCATGCAATATTTTGACAAATGTTTTGCATGAAACAGTAAATCACAAGCTTTTGTAATTGTACAGTTTTACAAAATACCCATATCATCTTCACGGGGGGTTTGTAAAAGGAACTTCAACCTTTTTTTTGATACAAACTGTGGAATTTCTAAGGCACCTCCCAAACAGAATTTCCAATTTCCTCCGTGGGTGGCAGAGGCGGATCCAGGATTTTTTTTAGGAGAGGGTGCACTCTTGCTCTACTTCAACACCAATAAACCACCTTTTTTTTTGCAGAATACCAGTTGTATTAGAAAACCGCAGGTCATGTCGGGGGGGGGGGGAGGGGGGGGGCGCACCCCCTGCCCCCCCCCACTAGATCCGCCCCGGGGTGGGGTATGGATGTTCTACCGAACTGCCTTTTCTTAGGTATACCGTGTCTTGATCGAATGCTCCCTTGTAGTTCTGTCCGCGTTGGTCAACCTGCTGAAGACTTGGCTACTATTGGTTCCGACGTGGATAACCCTGACCTTCCTGCTCCGCAGCCTCGTTGATGTTCGGCCCGTGGTTCAGTGTTTGAACAAATGTGCCTCTGTGGTGATATTAACCACCGCACTAAAGTATTCGTTTTATCACTACTGCTTGAGAGCAGAGTGTAACTCAGTGAGAGTATGCATTAATGGTACAATGGTACCAAAGCATATGCTAATTGGTAATATAGCAATGAGCTTCATTCATAGAAGAGGTAAAAACGTGGATCATCCTGCTGAAGTGTATTAAGGCTTGGATTTTAACTTAACTGTCCCCCCACCCTCCCTTCCTATTATACTAGATTTTTACAATATCACGCTTCCGAATGGATGGAAACTAACATTTCACTTGTTTGATTAAATAAACGTACCATATCACACCACGTGATTATCTTTTCCTAATGACGTCACAGTAGTGTTTCCTATAATTGGTTACATTTGAATTATTTTGAACATAATTTTCCGCTTCCTAAAGCGTCGTCCATTCTGTATTCTGAAGCTTATTAGTTATAAGTACATTAATTTTTTGTTAAGTCACTTGTATTGCTTCATGAATTAGTGGTTTCCATTTACACGTGGACACGATAAAAAGGAACAGTCTAAATCCTCTTCGTAGAAGCCATACAAATCATTAAATTAATAACGAAAAGGCATTTTTTCTTAGAATTTTCAAATTTCGATTAAACATTTTGCCCGGAAAAAAGGAAATTTAAATCATGTGAAGTGTACTAGCAAAAAAGGATTACGTGAAATAGATGAAAGTTTGGGGAGCTTACTACTTCATACATTTAACAAAAAAAGTTTACAGAAATGTTTCACTTTGAAGTAAAATTCACTAAATTATCGTTTTATCTCTAATAAGTTCTCCTTTTAAACAGTCACAATTTATTTGCCTCTTCTTCAATAATCCCTCCCTAAAATTGCCATAATTTGATTTGTCCCACTAAACAAATTATTAAATGTGAAAAAAAAATCTATTATCTTTCTTGAGCCAAGCCTTAATACACATGAGGGTGACCCACATGCAATGTTACACAATACCTTGGGTGCACATCTTGGAGAGGAGCTAATTCCACATTGCCATGAGCGGGCGCGACATTCTCAGGCCATGGTGTTCTGTCCTCGTAGTAGTTAAGATCCTGGCCAGCAGAGGTGACTGTTTCAATAAACCACCGAGCATCTCTTTTCGCTGCGTTGTAATCCAGCAGCTGAAGCAGTTCAACCGACTGCGTTTGCTTTGTTTCAACTGAAGAATCTGAAAGTTGCAATTGTCGATGCAAGTTACGGTGAATCAAATCATACTCAAGTCAAGAAAATACTGTATGGGTGGTAACGCCCTGAAGCCATGATGTCTGCAATGTCTTCGGGAAAACCAAAAATTTTGGGGCAACTGTCTCGTGAGCTTCCTTGCTACTGCTTTTTGCTTCACGTTTATTGACAAGTTTAAAACTCAAGACATTGGTCTTACTTTTACTTTTTTTAGGCGTTTTTATGGGCGGCTACGCGCAGCTCAATACAGAGAAGCTAAATTCTGGAAAACTCTAACGTCATCATCTCCATCAATCCATATCAGATAGCAGAAAACGGATTATAACAGGGAAGGGGACTATTGTTTCGCTGTGGACTTCGAGCTAAGTGAATCAAGAAGCCAGGTGGCAAAACATTATTCAGTCGGGATAAGAAGACATTTGAGAATAGCAAACTATTCATATGAATAAGTTTATTGGTACTTAATTCGCGGGTACTTTATTTCGCGATTTTGGCGAGATAGTATTCAGCGGGGCTTTATTTTTCGCGATCTAAATATGAAAATATGAAAAAGCCTATTAAATTTCGCGATTTAAGCGCTTTCAACTTTCATTTTATTTTTCAAAGGATTCAGAGGATTCAAAATGTTTAGACCTAAACTTTATGCTTGAATGACAAAAAGATCTACAACAAACTTCCTCACATGTCATGCTGGTTAATACAGACGTTTCGGCCTTCGGGCTTCTTTCGTGTATTTACAAAATCCAAACCTGGGTAAAAAATACACAATTTGGAATTGCTACCTATATACATTCGAGGTGAAAATAAGGTTAGGTAATACGTTAAAAAAGCAAGACAACCACAATTGCACTCAGGGGGTCCTCTCAGGGATTCTGTTATTCTTCTATTGTTGTTTTCCAATCATAGGCCTTTAGTTTGTACCTTATTACTTTTTGTTTAAGGTGTGCCCTCTTGGATTATGTTATGTTAATCCTTTTGATTTGATTCAGAAGCGCCGATTGGGGAACCTGTTGTGTTTCGGCAATGACTTAACTTTTACCACCTACTCTCATTAATAGTTTTTTACCGTCTCATTTTTAATTTGTACCATTGTGGATGTCTTGCTTTTTTAACGTATTAGGTAGCCTTATTTTCACCTCGAAAGTATAAAGATAGCTGTTCCAAATTGTGTATTTTTTATCCAGGCTTTGATTTTGTAAATACACTTAAGAAGCCCGAAGGGCGAAACGTTTGTATTAAACAGCAAGACATGTGACGAAGTTTGTTGTAGATCTTTTTGTCATTCAAGTTTATTGTTGCTATATGTTAAATGTTAGTCATTTTTTTAATGTGATTTGAATTTTCTAAACGGGTATTAAATTTCGCGTGTTTTAATTTGGTGAGGATTTTCATACGATTCGCGGGTCTTCAATTTCGCAATTTCGCGTAAGACGCGAAATTAAAGACCTGCGAAATTAAGTACCAATATGATGCAAAAATTCCGGAAACAGGACTAAACTTTATTTTACTTTTACCAACGTGTGGAACATGCACTGGACCTAGGGCTTCTGTTTTTTGGAGGTCACTTGCAAGGTTTTCCTTTGCCAGCTCTTTGGAAAGCTTAGCAAAGAACTCTGATTGGAGTGTACGATCCTCTACAATTTGTTTCACCATCTCATTCACATCGTCTTTGTATATGAACATGGTATATCCAATAACTTTGCCAGATTCAGTTGTCACAGTAACGGGTACTTCGCCAACCTCCTGAGAAGCTGAAAGAGAAGTGAAAAGGTACGACAATGAGAGACGCATAAGTCAAACACTAATGTCATACCATATGCTACAGCACACTTTAATTCATCGGGGTGATGTCATTTTGATGGGAAGCTAATTAATGAAAGGGGAAACCCAATAGTTTTGATATAGTTTTGTAGCACATAGCAACTATGAGTGTTGCTATATACCTCGCCCCACTAGATGGAGACAAGTGGATCGGTCAAATCTTGATACACCCTCCTTCAGAATTTATACAAACACAGCAACTACTCCTAACACCATAAATGTTAATTCAAAGTGAAATGCTACAACATGTAAAGGAAAGTTAAATAGCAAAATTTTGCAAACGTTTATATAGTGGGAGCACAAACTGATAATTATTATTTTGAACCTTGATGAGATAACCTGAAACTTCAATGAATACTTATACGTTCATGTTAATCTATACATATTTCAATAAATGTGACTATTACTTACGTGGGACAGTTCCAGATAGCACCAAGGAATTCGTTTTGTCTACTGTGACAGCTGCAACTCCTTCAAACACTGCTACTCCCTTCTTTACTTCGTCTGGCAACGCTTTATCCAAGGCAATGTAGAACCCGATTCCACCCTTTGCCAAATATAGTAGGCGATGTTAACAAAGGACAAAGATATACCCGAGACATAAATAAGATCACAATAAACCCATTAATACTCTTTCAGGCTTGGTCCATGACAGTGAAAGTTTAAGAAATTTATGAGCTATCGATCGCACGGCTACCGACTGAACCGTATCACCGAACAATTCTCTCCCTGCTCGTAAGGTGTCTTTTCATCGGTCGGGGAAAACATTAACACAACATTGTTCATCATTATTTCCATTGCTTTAGGTTAGGGTAGCAAACCATTTGGCCTTTAGGGTTAGAAAAGCTGCTACATGACCTCTCTCCCCGGAATGAAGAAAAACAATATGGCCGCCAAATACATTCTTTTAGTTTTAAAAGTTCTCCTTTATTAACAACCGTTGAACATTTATTTCGGCAAACAAACAGTTAAGTTGAAAAAGGATTTTACAAAAGCCTCAAGAGTAGGTCTCCTTTTCGATTTTAACTTGCAATATCGGTCAATTTACGCAACTTTTAAACTTCTGGCTCAGTTTTAATTGGTTCTGCTTTGAAATGGAATAATAATTACTCAGAGACAATAAAGTCTCAAGAATTGTTGAGAAGAACAGCAAAAACTTGCCAATTCATGACAAAACAGGTACTTTAAAAACGAACTGAAACATTCAAAACGCTTTGATCACGTGACTGATGACGTCATCTCCCTCTTTTGGTCATGAAAAAAAAATTATCAGGTAGAACATTACTTTCCTGCAAATTTTCTCTGCGTGTGATAAAAGGTTGACTCTCTACAGCCCACGACCTAGTCTCGTGACTTTTTCGCTCACGTTCATTACCCCCTTAAATTTTAAATGCCAGACGTCAACTGGTTAATTTTAAATGCCCCACACAGCTAAAACCTAAAATATGCTATTTGTTTTTAACTCGTTAATGAAATCTTGTCATAGCAATTAAAAAAACCTAATTCGGAAATAGTCACATGACTGATGATGTCATTACTTTGGATGTGACATGGGAAGATATTTTATGGCAAATGTTATCTTGTTGTGGTCTGACAGTCTTCTACGTATAATATTGTCAACGTTATAAGGCTTTTTAAAAAAATTGCCTCAAAGGACTCTGGGGGATTTTTTTATGATAATTATAATCTACTTTTATAATTATTATTGTCGGTTGTCCAGTTTTGCTTGAGTCCACGGTGCCGGTAATTGTTGATTACGATTCAGTGGTGTTTGTTCTTGTAGTTAGTAAAAATTAACCAGCTTTTTAAAGTGAGTCGTTGGTGGCAGTCCGTAGAATTACGTACTACATGTCGCAGAGTCCCAGTTGATTTGATGTTTCGTCTGTAACTTGGTGATCAGCAATGTGAATGTTGTCGTCACCATTTCTTGTCGCTCGTTTGTGTTCAGGCAGTCGCGTGCTAAGGTTTCTGCCGGTTTCACCAATGTAAGTGGCCTGGCAGTCGCAGCATTTGATCTTGCATACTCGTCGGCTCCCTGTCTGTCCTCCGGTTTGTCTTTGTCCTTAACAGTAGTAGGCAGTCGTCTTAAAGTGGTTATCGGTTTGTGTGGAACACGTAAGGTTGTAGTATACGTGTGATAGTTTCAGAGGAGCCTCTGATGTACGGTATAGTCGTTGTCGTAACAGGGCTAGTGTTGACGTTGGTCTGAGTGTTGGAATCAGCGTTACTGTGGGTGTTTCGTCTAACAAAGTCCGCGTCGTTGTTCGGTTTTTACTAAAAACGTTCTTTAGTAAACTGTTATTTAAAAAAAAAATTACCTTTACAGAGCCAGAACCAGGACAGATATTTACAACCGCTACAAGAAAGAAGAAAAATCAATAGTAGAAAATAACCCTTAAATAACAGAGGTGTCGTGGTTTGAGGTACCTTTCCGCGGGTCGCGAAGTAAAGTGCATGAAATTTTGTATGCGTGTTACTAAATTCATGTTTTGTATAGAAAAAATGCTATCAAAATACGCTCAAAATGTTATTTCAAAAAAAATTATGCAACATTCTTCATGAAGATTTCTCTAGTCTTGAAAGTGGAAGGAACGGGTCTGTAAAGTAAATTTGGGCGAGTTTGCAGGTCAACTTTTTTCTTATATCTTCATTGCGAGATCGGCGTGCGCACAGCACACATTCCATATAAACCGACCTCAAGAACATCTATCTATCTATCTATCTATCTATCTATCTATCTATCTATCTGTCTGTCTGTCTGTCTGTCTGTCTGTCTGTCTGTCTGTCTATCTATCTATCTATCTATCTATCTATCTATCTATATTTATCTATATATCTATCTAGCCTAGCTGTTTTTGCAGGAGCGCGAAAACTGAGAACATGGCAATCCCAAGACGAAATAGCTTAACTACTGACTTAAATTGAGCGGAAAAATGCACAAATACGAAAAAAAATATTGCTCGATTTATGGTTGCATTCCTTTTAGCCAATCTAAATCCGGATTTTGGGATCGAAAATTCGATTTTTTGTTCCATTAAGGACTAAACCAATCTAAGATTGCAATCCGAACGATCTACCTCTGAACGTGGATCATTCAGATTGGTATCTCAATCTGGTTTCAGATCCTTGTAAAAAACGTGCAAAAACGTGCTCGTTCATCAATATTATTAACACGGCAGTTCGAGGTTAGCTCAGTCAAAAGTTATTTTTACTCCTTCGTTGTTCTATGCCGCTAAAGGATTGTAGTATATTAAATTCAAGTTCCACTGTCACTCTAAATCCGTTAGGAAGTGAAAACGCTTAGATTTTCTTACCGTAAAACTATACTGGCCTGAATGTCTGTGTGTGTTTAGAGCGCGCTTCTCAGCGCTTGAGAAGTTGACGAGTTGACGAGTCCCAGTATGAAACACCACTAGTTAAAGAGCGAATGTTTTTCCCTTTCTCCACGACAAGATGTTTAATTTAGCAGAAAGACGTAATAACGATGCGTTAAAATTGACAAGAAGATCGGAGCGGTAGGCAGCTTCTGTAGGATCAATCTTATTTCAGTTTTTTGTTCCGACTAGCACGAAAATCCAAACAATCTGGATTGTCCAAATCCGAAAAAAGTTTGGCTAAAAGGAATGCAACCTATGTCAACTGCTTATTGAAGAGTATCTGCTTGAAAAAAAAAAACACACACGCACACACATTAAATCTGAAACAAGCAACAGGCAAATGTTGGAGGACTACCTTGATTAGATTAGTATTTGCAGTTCTAGTAACTTACTGTCGTCGACAATAAAGAGGTTGTCACTTCCTTCAATTCCCGAATCTGAAGGCCTCTCTACCGCCGAGTCTGATAATTGCGACTATAAACAACACAAAAAAACAAACAATTAAATACTTTCAGTGATATTAACTGTTGCAAAACGCTTTTACGTCACCAGAAGATGGCTTCATTAAAGGCACTAAACACATCATGCTTATAATGGTAATAGGTCTAGAGCAAGACTGACTTACAACGGGAAATAGGACTAAGTAAAGAACAACTCGGTCTGTAATCATATAAAAGTCATTTTGCTCGATCGTTCGATATGTTTAATCACGAGAATGATTACAGGTTGAATTGGACGACACGAAGAAAACTTTCAATTATGTCAATTACACTGACTAAGACAAAATCTGAGATAATCATTTGTGATAATTTCCACTTCTCGAAAGATGATGTTAGACTACGACAAAAAAGGCGCTGGTATAGGTTAGCGTGGACTAAGGGTTTACCACGAGATTTTAGTTTCGGTACCACGAGAATCAGTTTGAGGAAAGTTGTTAGATTCGGAAGTTACTGGTTAATTGTGACTTCGGGAGAAAACCCGGCACCGATTTGTACCCAAAAGTTCAGATGCAGTAGAGAACAATAGTAACAACAACAACGAAGAACGGGAAGCGTGATTTTAGTGTAAAAAAATAGATGTAACAATACAATAAAGGAGAGATTATCACCTGTAATTTAAAACAGGGATGAAAGTAATTTAGTGTTAAAAAGTAAGCGGATGCTTCCTTTTTGTTTTGGTCATTTGTTTCTGTTCTTGAAAGTATAGTCATAAACGAGGGAAAATCGTGATTCAGAAACGGAATATTTATTAAAAACTGAATCATTGGATAATGCAATTCTAGCATTTTGATTGGCTTAGCCGTTATGGTATATGAGCTATTATACCATGCTCTCCATATATGGTCGGTCTACGCGTCAGTTTAAAATTGGAAGCTAGCTGAGATTTTTTTTCGCGAAGGATAGAACGGCGCTCGAAGCGAATTGTTTTAATTCATTTCTTAGAATACTAGAAATGCAATTTCATCGAAAGAAAAAAGACAAAAACAAACAAAAAAGCCACAAGAGCTTGTTTGAAAGTTTGTCGAAAACACATGAAAACACATGGAACTAAAGTACCCTGACCAGCTACGAAAAAAGACATGTGTTGTATCATGATCGCAGAGCCATCCGCCGATCGAGTCACTCGCCGATAGATAACTGCCGCTTGTTTATCCGACATCAAAAATGTAAATCAGTCACAAGTAAACAGCTACAAATACAGGCTATGCAGCCATCCACTAGAGCAATCGAAGCGGCAGTATAGCTTCTTTTCTCGTTCAGCAAAACCAGCTTCTGGCTTCAAACAACTTCATAACAAGCGACCGAGGTAATAGTTTTTCTCCGTTGTTCTTACTTTTATAACTGCACCGAAAATCTAAATTCACAGTAATTTCGACGGCTGTCACTTAAAAGTTCTTTTCCTTCACATTATCTGCCAGGTTTTTTTAGCTGTTCTGCTTTGTAAAATCCTAGAATCCCGATGAGTTTTTAAAAAACTAATGTTCATCGCTACAATGTTTTGATTTTTCATTCATGCAGTCCAAGCGAGTCCGTTTGCGCGTTGACAGTTTTGATAGACGTGCGACATGTGAATAGCGGAAGTCCCTCGTCTTTTCCGGTTTGTTCTAGTCGGGGAGATTCAACGAGATTTTGTGGGCGTTTCTAATAAAACAATTATTCCACTCGTGCTTGTTGGATATGAGATGATTATAGCCAACTCGGCGTTACGCGCCTCGTTGGCTATCTATCATCTCATATCCAACGCGCCCTCGTGGAATAATTGTTAAGTATATTACGCCATGGTGTGCACCCAGAATTTCTTAAAGAGTGTGAAGTTTCAGTCCTAATGCTTAACACAGTCAAAACTTTCAAATTCACCTCAAAGTCTGATCCTGACGTTCCTGAGTATTCCTGATGTACGTCAGTAGCATTGCTCTCACTCCCACTTTTCCCAGCACATTGGTCGACCTCTGCACTCACAACAGAACCGCGCTTTGATTGATCGGTAGAGTTGCTGGGAATAACCAGCATCCTTGTAGCTGCACCATTGCCTTGCCCTTGCCTTGTCGTCGCTTGTAAAGGAACATGTGCCAACTCATATCCAAGAGCTGCTGTCTGCCCAAGTTGACCTCTTTCTTGCTCAGAAGCTGCACTAGCAATACTCAAACTGTTTAGTTGAGGTGTCAGTGATGAGGATACCATACCCTGCAGATCTGTGTTCGGTAGTAATGAACTCTTTGATGGAACAGTATTTCTTCCTGCAGCCTGTCCATCTGCAATGTGCATGGCAGGTTTCCTTGATTGTGATTGAGAAGCTGTAGAAACGATGTTCTGAGTCATCACTGACGGGGCACAAATTCCTCCTTGAGACATAAGAGACACGTCTGTGGAATACATTAGAATGAGCCAGTTAGTGATGACAATTTTTAAGACATACAATTTATTCAACAGTTATAATTTCATATCAAATAAACGTATTAAATAAATATACCCCTGCAAGGGTTATTTGAAGCTTAGCGTGCGTTATGGCCAGATGAACGCGAGAAGTTTGGAGGGTACATGAGAAGCGTCACAATTAAGTTGTCACCTGAGCTACAAAACCTTTTTAAAGTTAAAACTGCTTTCCAATTGCCTTAGGTGTTAAATTGTAAAAGGCACTTGCAATTTCTGGAGGTACTTTTTAGCAATTTCTCCTTATGTTTATTTGTTTGCTTGTTTTTTCTTTTTCCTTCATTTTAACTGAAAATTCGTCATTTCGAAAGGATCAAGGAAGGAAAGAAATAAATTATGGTCAGTGCCAAAAGTATAAGAGTGCAAGGTAATACTTTAATTTCAATTTGGTCCCCACTATTGCAGGGAACTTTAGGATACGTTACTCTTAATTGAACTATACCGGAGAGACATTGGCACAGAACTTACCATCTTGGTCAATCCTACATCCGCTCTGCACTGTCGGCGTCATCTGATCATGAGGACGTTTCAATGTTGACTGTTTGGAGCTTATGGAATCCTGTTTTCCTGAACTTCCCTGATAATTAAATTCTTCATTAATGGTTATTAGAACAAGCCTAAAATTTGAGTATGGTCTTTCACCTGAAGAAAAGTGACTATTGTCGGAGAAATGACGAACGTTTTTCATGTTTTATTTGATAATTGACAGTGTAATTGAACTTAACCATGTCAGGATTAGTTAATAAGTCAGCGCTTTGAGATCAAAGACATGAGATCTAATCGCTTTGAGTCGTTACTTTCCAGGGCAGATTGGGGCACTCTCATTCAAGAATCATGCATTGGGGAAATCGGTGACTAGACTTTTCGATAGGGGATGGTCATTCTTAAAATAACTATACTGGAGAGACCATCCATGCATTTACGTGTTGAGTATTGGACAGTGTTCATGTATATACAGTCTAGCCTACACTAACGGCCACCTCTCTACAAAGGTCACTTTTTTGTCCCGACCGACAGTCCATACATTTACTCTTGTTTAAATTAAACCTCTCCACAACGGTCACCTCTCTACAACGGCCACGGCCACTAAAGTGTGGCCCCAACTGCCAAAAAAACACCTCGACAACAGCCAGTATTCTCAGTTACTGATGAAAAAGTCAAGAATGGTCATGAAATTTGATTCGTATGACACGTTGATGATTAATCGTGGCATTGGTATTTTGATTGTGTTACATTTATACTGCTGCAGTAAGTATAAATTGTCTACGATACTTATCGCGAATGTTGTGAACCTTGCTCGCTTTGTCTCGTTCAAATTTTGATTCAAAACATTGTTCAAGTTTTTTGTGTATTTTATATATAATATTATATATGATTAAACTATCATTATGGGATACAGTAAGCATGATTATTATTCATTCAAAATATTTCTTTTTTCCTAATTGGCTAAAATCACAAGCATGATTCATTATAATCAGCTACTGTTGACCAAATTTGGAAGAATTTTTCCTTATTGAACTGATGACGTCAAACGAGCAGCAAAGTTACAGATTATTGAACCGTTAACCGAGAAGACCTGGGGACGAGGTTGTGTTATTTTGGTAGTGATACCAAAAAAGCGGAACGTTTCACTCGTTTCATCAGGAAGAAATAGGCGAACTATTGGCTAAACACATAGCAAGAACAGCAAGAAGGCAACTCGAAGGACGACATCTGCTATTTGGAGAATATTTGCGGAGCTGAACAACCCTTTATCTCCTAAACCTGCCGATTAACGTGCACTACCGAAGATGAACTTGAATCGATGCTGGTAAGCATGTTTTGATTGTTTTTAAACCAAGAATTCTTATGAATGAATAATAAAACAATTATTGAATTCGGCCTTCGTATCATCTGAAGAATTATGTTGATCTCGGAGGGTGTTATCCGCTTCGACCACTCCTCGATCTACATAATTCTTCAGATGATACGAAAGCCGAATTCAATAATTGTTTAAAAAAGAACAATGAACATGTTGTACTCCCTAAAAAAATTTTGTCGTATTACACCCCTACCTCCCCATAAAAGCCACCTCTCCACAACGGCAACTTTCCTCTGATCCAAGGTGGCCGTTCTGGAGAGGTTCGACTGTAGCAGGTAAACATTTACCATGAAAAAGAAAATTAACTCTCAGTCACTGTAAACCATTTGTCTCCCATACAACAAAGTAACAGCATATTAATTGCAATACCTCATCAGTATAAATGTAGAGAGCTGAGTTTCCCTTTATTTTCTGCTTTATTAGACGTCCATCCCAAATACGACGCTCTCCATGGAAGTCCAGTCTTGTTCGATTGTCCACCGCCGAAGCACAATAGAATCTATATTTTAAAAATCAGCACGTAAATGAGCAATCAACAACATCGAAACGGGAGAAGAAAATATATGTTCACTTGCAGTTTACAAAGGAGTGAGACAGAATTAGTTGCAGACAGGCAAGTGAAAATTGGATTGATTAATCAAACAATTGGTAATCTGTTCATGAGAAAAGCCGGCGGCCTGATAAGACATAGAAAACCACCTTTGGATGTGAACTGGTTCTGCAGTTGCTGGTAGCCGAAAACCATGGCCAAAAGCTGATAAACTTATATACCACTGGAAATAATTCCTACAGACTATAATTGAAGATTTTTTTCTGATCAACTGGCTTAGTTGTTCTCTGACGATATCGTGATCCGCCACTTGAGTTTAAAATAATACTAGTTGTAGCTTTCGCTAAGTACCAACGAAAGAAAAAGAATTTGCTTACATCACCGGTTTTGGTGCCAATGCTTATAAAACCATTTTAGCTGCTGGGGCGAGAATGTCGACTACAAGCACTCCTCGATCCTACATTTCTGTCATGCTGTTGGCCTTAAAATCGCTCTCATTCTTCTGCTTAGACATTTTTGAACCTTAAACTTGTCGAGTTTCAAACAGCGAAAGGGAATGAACATTTATAGGTTAGCGCGAACTTGAAATAGCGAGTTGTAGTTCGTACAAGTACAGTAGTCTGGCAGAGAACAATGTCCGAACTTTGAAGGTTCGTTTGTTTACAGCAAAGGACATCAAAAGTCACGTGAATCTACACGTGAAATCTAACGCCACTAAAATCCCCACGGAATCTACACCTTACATTACACTTACATTACACTTTTCATAGCACGATCGAGAATTTTTCTGCCTGCTGCAATACTTTGCGTGGTATTAAGCTGGCCGCCTCGCAAGCCGACCGTCTTCGCTTGGCTTGCTCGTTGGCAACTAAGTCCCCTTGTTCAAGCAATTAGGTATCGCCAGGATAGAGGGTATCTGATTGATTATTAAGGTGGCTCGACTGGATTTGTTAGGGAGTATACCTCCCCACTTTGAGCGTTTACTACGTCGGCAGTAACAAAGATAACGCAAAAAGGTTACCACAGCTGCTCTGTATAAATCTTTTTATGATCCATGTTTTATTGACCTCAGAGTTACCATGGTAACATAATGACGCCATTACCTCTTACTTGCCTTTCTCGGTACTATTAGTTCTTTTTTCCGGAAATCGCTTAAGGGAGCTTGTACTTCCCTTAGTTGCCTCGGTTATGGCAAATTTGACCAAATTCTGTGACAGCGTTTTCGAAATATTTTGAAACAAAGTTTTAATTGAGTCATAAAAACAATAAACATACTATCGACATAATTAGCTAATATCTTAAGAAAATGATGAGGTCAGGAAATGCAGTTCCATCTCATAGTGGTCTTATTCCATCTGAAACTTTGTACGAAAAAAGAGGGGGATTGCTTTGGCCGATTGCAAGAAAGAGGAATTTGAGAAGCCTACATACGGCTGCTTTCTTTACCACTTTTTAATGTAATTTGGTCCCCGCCTACAAATTTCACGGTTTCTTAAAAACCGCACGATAAATTTTTGTAAAAGCTTGAAAATCTCGAGATTAATCATCAATGTACGTCTCCTCCAAGTTTCAAGGACATTGAAAACAAGGAACGTAATTAAACGGGGCTTCAAATTTCAAAAACTTTCCAACAGATTTTGTGTTTACAAGTGCGTGTCACCTCATTATTCACTGGCATTGTTTTTAAGTTTCATATGCACGTGCACAACAAGCTCCCTTAAGGGATTTCTGAAAAAAAACTCCTTGTACTGAGAAATACAAAGGCAAGTAAAAAACGTAATAGCGTCATTATGCTGCCATGGTAACCTTTTTCCGATATCCTTGTTATTGCCGACGTGGTAAACGCTCAAAGTGGGGAAGTATACTCCCTAAAAAATTCAGTCGAGCCACCTTAAGTTTCTTCGAGAATATTAACATCAACAGCAGAACTTTTACCTTTGATCTCCAAGGTAAGGAAATAAGCTGATTAATAGCTCTCTAATGTCCTTTTGTGTCATTTTCGAAGATATCTGCACATTTGTTAAGAATTGTCCCTTGTCCTTCTTTTTCAGTTGTGCCATTTCAACTGTATTTGGCATGCGTACATAATTATCCCCTATGGTGACATCACAGCTTTTCAAGACCACTACACTCTTTCCAGCTGGTGCCCCAGAGTCTTTCTTCTTTCGTTTTAGGGGAACTGGTTCATCGATGTTTTGTTGTAAGGTCTGTTGAACAGAGCCCCCAACAGCATGTGATTGCGCCATGGATGCAACCTGTTTGTAAACAGAGACAGCATAAAGTAAACAACAACAACAATAACCATTGAGTTTCTATTTACTACGAATGACTTTCCACATGCGTGATTTCTTCATTTAGCCTGGAAACCCACACCCACTTCCCACAAATAAGCCCCCTGTTATATGCACACGTGCAAAATCCTGAATGTCTAATATCAAGGTCCCAGTTGCTCGAAGGCCGATTAGCGCTAACCCGGGACTTAATATTAAGCCGGGTTTCTTTTTCTTTTGTTCACAAGCATTTTCCCAGATAATTTTTTCAATTTTTTTTAAAGAAATTGTAGACAAAAAGAATAAAATTGAATTTGCTTTTTAAAGCCGCTTTTTATATCTGAATTCATATTTCGCACTAGCCCTCGGTTATCTTAACCCCGATACGACGTTATTAACCAATAAGGTCAATAACCAGAGTAAAATACCATCAACTGACGTGATACAACTCACTTTGACTCTAAAGATGACTACCGCACAGGTTGTCGAAAAGTCAGTCACTGTCAACTGCAACAACACTAATCAGGCTATTCAGGACTACGTTCACCCGGACGATCAAGCTCCAGGGCCGTAGCTAGGTCTTTTGTAACAGGGGGAGGGGGGGGGGGCATTATCGCGAGTGCCTTATAGGGGATCTGGGAGTATCCTCCCCCGGAAAAGTTTCAAATGTGAAGGCTCTGAAACGTTTTTTTCAGCACTTGTCATGAGATATGTCTCCGAAAAATCGACCTCGAATATGAAAATGGCAAACAATTATTGCAAGTCACTATAACCAAAATAACTGAGTCTAAAGAAAACAAATCCATCCAAAGACTTGATTTGTCTGGCTCAACAGGTCCAGGAGGGCAGCTGCCCCCTTGTCCCCCCCCCCCCCCCCAAAAAAAACCCTGCTCCCCCCTAGACCAAAAAAAAAATTTTAATCCAAAAAAGATTTATAAAAAAAATATATACCACAACCCCCCTCTGGTTTGCTTTTTTTTATAAAGCACAAAACTTTAACAATAATGTGGTTTTATTTTATATTCACACTATCTCACGCATAAAAAATGTCTCCGAAAAAGCGACCTCGAAAATAAAAATGGCAAACAATTATTGCAAATCCCTAAAACCAAAATAACTGAGTCTAAAGAAAACAAATCCATCCAAATACTTTATTTTTCTGGCTCAACAGGTCCAGGAGGGCAGCTGCCCCCTTGTCCCCCCCCCCCCCAAAATAAAATCGCTGATCTCCATAGGACATAAAACAAATTTTAATCCGAATGATGCATTTAAAAAATATCTCGTCCTACAACCCTATCTAGGGTTGATATTTCTAGAAAGCAGAAATACTTTAAGCAATATTGGATTTAGATTATACTCATACAGATCTCAGCGAAAGAGCCCTTTGGTAAAAGATATGTTTTCGTGCAGATTATAGTTAGATTTTACATTCAAATTGGGAAACTTTCCCATAATTAGTGAGTCTGATTAATTTATTGTTAACACCCTTTTCGTAAATACACTTAAGTATTGACCTGATTAAAAATATTGTTGTTAGAGCATTCCAAGATTCTAAATACTCTAAGTTAGTCTTTAACTCGCGAGGAAATATATACTGACAGGAGCGTTAAACTCGTGAGAAACTATCTACATCGTTCCTCCTTGTCTACCATTTGCTAGGGCAAACTCGCGAGACAAAGTTACAAAGAACTCGCGAGAAATCAGTGAGCCATTGTTTAAACTCGCGAGGAGACTCTCAAGTCAAGGTTTAACTCGCGCGAAATTAGACAGCTAACGTAAAAGGAGACGTAGAAGTGAAGAACAAACCCGTTTTCCTTCTCCTTGCGGACAGTACTTTGTACAACAAGATATTACCTATATAACAGAAAAAAAAGAGTTGCAAGTCAGATCGACTTTCGCTATAAAATCAGATTTCACTCGCGCGCCCTCTCAGACCGCGAAATAAAGAAAAATAAATTCGCGAAAGCATCATTAACTTTATTTAGGTCTCGATCTCAACGCCGCGGTCTAAACTCGAACTCGACACGATTCTTTTTACATTTCTCTACCTACGCGTGATAGTCGAGTGAGTAGAACGAAAGTTACGGTTTGAATATGCATAAAGTTTAATTCAGCTTAATTACCAACTTACCCTTCAAAATCTTAATGAATCAGTAAATAATTCTCGTATTCACTGAGCAGCATATACATCGAAGCTCTCAGACGTTCCCGCAAGTGAAAAGGCCGTTTGAGTTTTCCACCAGGAGTTGTTTTGTGCGTTTTTCAAAGGATTCAGATCACGTGACCGTCAGTTATTCTATGATGAAATCTTTGCTTGTTATTCATCGTCACTCAGTTTCACTTTTGTTTTGGTTTTGTTTGTTTTTGTTTTTAACCGTTGGTCACTGGAAACAGTTTAACTGAAAAGAAGCTGAACCTAGCAATAACTTAGAACTTTCTAGTGTGCAAGTATTTGCATATTTAACACATCCACGCGGAAATAAGGGGAAGAAGAGCTCTTGCTTGGCTGGCTACTTTATTTATCAAATTATCAAATTATGAATTTAATCTGGCTGTTCAGGAATCCTGCATGGCCAGTATCATCAACTGATATAGATGTTTATATTAAAAGCGACGTCAATTTTTTGGCCACACTCTCCTATTCTTATCACTTGTGTGAAACCGATCAATTCCTCTCGATCAAACTAAAGTTTCAATTACTCGCAACACTGACTCCAAAAGCAAACTTGACACTTTATGTTTTAATGACAAAATAATTCAGTTTCAGGCACACAATCAGCTAACTGGAAGGTTTTTTCGAGATTAAAGCTCTGTGGATGTAAATACTTAGTCGATTAAACCAAGTTTTCTTCATCCCACGACATGGGGACGAAACTTGACCAGACATTTTGTGATTACTTGAAATGCTACATCGTCGAACGAGATTAAACACTCACGGATTTGGAGTTCCTTTGAAACAAAATGCTATTTATAATCTGAATTCCAGGTAAAAAGGGGAATTCTTAAGGAAAGTGACAGCGTAGAACCGACGTTTGAAGCCATCCTAGATTTGGGTGCAGAAGGAAGTTCCAGTGAAATGAAAGCAAACCGGAACGTGCCTGCTTAGTTTACATTTAACCGACCAGTTTCACTTTTGTACATTTAGTCTAGATAATATACCCAAAAACCTCGATCGTACACTTAATTTTCAGTCGACATCTCCTTTCTTAAGGAGAAGGTGGGAATCGAAATAAACTATTTTTCTTTCAGTGTCACTACACAAGCCTAAAAAGCCGCATTCAGCTTAGCAATATAAAGGAAGATTACCTCAACTAGTATTGACTTGAATTGCTCCACTATTCCTTAGTATACGAAGATGTTAGTTAAAGAGGAAAACGTAAGTTGCACCTCAAACGACATACATCAGTGTACCACCGGTTTTGACTTTAGTGAACTCATTAAGAAAGAGGGGCACATGCCGTGTTTCAATCACGTGCTACTGGGTCTTATTTTATTGGCTCTTCATTTGACAGCTTGACGTATCTTATAAATCAAAGAGACCTGGCGTAAAATGCACCCAAGTTTTCGATTTCTGGGGACTAAATACTCTAGGAAGAGAAGACACATCAGACTCCCTAATATTTTGATTTTTCCAGTTAGTAGTTATAGGCAATGTGTTGCTGCAGTGATTACTGGACTCCCTTGTTTGACATACATACTATTTTTGTTGTTTTCAAGCTTATTAGACAGTTAAAGAATGTGATCAGTCGGGTGTGGTAAAAATGCATAAAGGATGTTGAAATGTTGCGGCAAGAATGTGGAATTCAAAAGAGCCACGCGCGCAAGAACGTGTTGTACGATGTTACCTCGCGGCATTGTACAAGCACCACGCGATTTCTCAATAGTCGGTTTTCATGTATTGGCACTCCACAATGACTCAAAGATCCGATCCTGTATGTTTAACAAAGCCGACCTTTATAACTTCTCTTTTGATTCTTTTTCAATGAATTTACAGTAATTCATTTTGACTAAGGCAGGCAGTCAGACTATGATCACACCCGATAACTAAAGTAGCAGAAATATAAGAAATTTTGTAATTTCTTGAAATGCCAAACCATCAAACGAGATCAAACAGTCGGGTTTAAAGTTCCCTTAAAGCAATCACCTGCTCCCTTACTCGATCTTTGGCTAATTAATTGCTTCTCATAGCAAGCACAATTGAACAGTTAATCCCGCAGGGCATTCACAAAACTATTGAGAGGGTACAGCCAATCTCATGGATACCCGTTTAAGAAAGTTACGTTAAGTTTACCAAGGTCTTGGGAAAGAAAACTTCAAGTGAAAGCAAACTGAACGGACTTGTTTTTACATTCAACCAGTTTTAAACTCTGGCTAATTTACCACGGCGGAAGTGAAAATCGAATTAAATTATTATTTGCTCAGTCGTTTCGTAATCTTTTAACAACTTACCTATAGATTATCTATTGCCTTGAATTGATCCACCAATCCTTAGCACATGAAGCTGCAAACAGTTATGTTAAAGAGCGGAAAAAGTGAGTTACATCTCTTACTACAAATCAGCGCACAGCAGCCTTTGCCCTTGAAACACTCATTAAAAACAAGGCCTCAGACTGTAATTCAATTGTTTCCAAGTTTTGTTGTTCATTGGCTTTTTAGTTGACAACTTGACGTATCTTATGGCAACGTCTTCCGTCGTAAAACGCGCTCAACATTTCGAGTGGCCACTGTCCGGGAACTTGCAAGTTTTATAGGAACTAAAAGAAAACAACTGACTCCCTAATGTGTTGTTTTCTATAGCATAAAGAGTGCGACGTACCTTATTATACACAAGACTCGCGTGTTTGCAATAGATACTGCTAGATCCGTGTTGTTTCAAGAATGCTGGTCTAGATAACAAACATACACGAAACAAGTCGAAATGTTGCAAAAAAAAAATCGCTTGAGCTACGCGCTAGAACGTGTTGTACGATGCCATCTCGCGACACTGTACACGTACCATACGATATGAATATAATTATGGTTGGCCCGCGTAAACAAGTCGAAATGCTAAAACAGCATGAGATTCAAAAGAGCCACGCGCGAGAGAACGTGTCGTACGATGTTATCATGCGACATAGTACACGCAACACGCGATTACGAATTAGTCGGTTTTCATGTATTCGCACTCCACAATGACTCTCAAATTATCACACCGATTCTGTGTGTTTAACAAAAGTGAACTGTACAACTTCACTTTTGTTTTTTTTTTTCCCAAGATGAATTAATTCAGGTTGAGGCAGGCAATCATCAAAGCGGAACCACTGTGATTCAACAAAATGTTTCCTCACCAGTTTAAGATGGATTTGCTGAGAAATCAGACTATGATCACATACCCGGCGTAATCACTCGAACCAAATCGAACATTTTATCAATCGAACTTAATCGAACTCAAATGAACTTAATCGAATGATTGGGTTCGATTAAGTTCGGTAATCGAACACAATCGAACTCTCACCGAAAAGTTTTAGTTATCGAACCCAATCGAAGTTTGATTGAGTTTGACTGATTAGGTTCGATGGTCGAAGTTTGCATGCATTCGATTAAAAATGAGATGTTATACAGGAAAATTGTGCCTGTTTTGCTGAATTTTTCCTTTTTCTAGGATGTCTTGCAGCTTGGGTAAGCAACGGAACTAATAATGATAATAATAATAATGACAATACTTTAATCACCCTCTCCCCTTCTGGGGCTTTTCAAAGATTCAAAGATAATGAAAAAATATAATTTAAATTGAACATAACGTGGTGAAAAATCCCAACTGGTTTTAATTCTACATTGATATAGCAGGTTGAAGTATGAATCAGAGAAAGCAACAGTTTTGTCTATTTCTATAAGGCAATCACCGTTAAATAATCAGATTTGATATCTTCTTTCAGAGGCGCCAAAAACCTAAGCCTTTCCTTACCACTGCTGGTCATTACTTCATTGCTCTAATTAGAAGATACGGCAGAGATATGGCATTCTCCATGATCTTGAAGTTCAGGCACCCTTTCGACATGGACAGCGTTAAAGTTTCCAGCGTTTGTGAAACTTGAGACAACTAACGCAACAACAAACGATGTTGCGATAAAATACATTGGCTATTAAAATAGATAATACAGTGTAATACCAGAATGGTGCAGGGTTGAGATTTCGGTTTCTCTGTGGTCTCGACGATTGAATTTTTCGCTCAAAATTAGTTCTCTCTACTCGCCTTCTATCAGCAAAATGCAAATGATAGATGCAAATGGAACGTTTCATTTCGAGAAACTTATCGCCGTTTCCGCACATAATAATGGGAATAACTTCAAAGCTCTTCAAGCTATGACACTATTCAACTAGGAACATTAGAGGCGTCATGACGTGTACGTCAACATTGAAGTAACCATGGCAACTGAGTTTTGACAGCCCCGTTTTCCAAATTTACACTTTTTTTCTATAAAAATGTTTTATTTTTATTTTTTACTCACTGTAAATCCTCGATTAAGCCCCCCACCCCGGGGGGGGGGGGGGCTTTATAGAGAAGAAAAGACAAAAAATAAACAGTTTGAGGACATCAATCCAGTAACAAAAAAAATATCTAAACATCAGTTTGGTAAATATTTATTCCAATTTAGGCCTAAAGATTGTTTACGTGTGAGAATTTTTAAAATAGTGTATAATTTTTGGGGGTGGAAGAAGTGTGGGGGGGTGAGGGGGGGGGGGGGGGGGGGCTTATTAGAGGGAGGGGGCTTATTTGAGAGGTGGGTTAATAGAGGATTTACGGTCTTGCATTTTTGTATTACATCTAAGTTGGAATATTATTTTATCAAATTTACAATTATAAATGTTGATGTAATCCAGACTTTTTGGCGACTAATTTGAGGATAAACATGAACTTAAAATGACCCACTGGCAAATGCTAAGTCATTCAGTTTTAGACAGAGTTTATTTCAGATTTCCATGACTTCCTTTTTTGTTGTTGTTGTTGCTTGCTAAGTATCCTCTTATACACAGATCAAAGTTTCTATCACGATTGCCTCGATTTATACTGGTTTTAAGTAAAATGGAATACATCTAATTAAGATCTAAGATAGCCTGTTCCAGGCTCCGAGATAGTCAGGTCCGCTGAATTGAGAAAGCGCAAACACGAAAATAAAACGGGACGAAAGTGGGGAGAGAAGGGGCTTCCTTTTCCTCTTTTTCGCCCCGCCAAATTTTCGCGTGCCTTTTCCTTTCGCGTCTTCCCCACTATCTGAGAGCCTGGAACCAGATCTAAGATGACAAATGGTTCCAGATATTCCTAATAATAAATGACATCATCGTGACATCACTTCTATCATTAAAGATTACTTATGAGTCAGCCAACTTCACTGATTTTATCACACACATTACTATCTAAGTGTATTCCTTTGATTAATTGATGTAATACATCAATAAAAGCCTATCCTAGAAATTTCAGTTAAAAATATTAGGTCAGTAACATTTTTCAATAGACTAAATTTTCCTAGAAACTTGGGGTGCAAATAATAGCTAATTTCATAAAAAAAAATATTCATAACTAGTAAAATCGGATTGTTCCCCATTAGTGCTGAATGGTAGCTGTAATTATCTCAAAGTGTCGTACCCATCGCCTTAAAAACGTAAAAGTTATAACAAAAAGTTTGTCAAAGTTCAATGCCCCTGTATTAATAAAGGACGCACCCTACCTTATAAGGTAAAGTATATATATCTATATAATTTAAAAAAGAATTCAACGAAGAAACAAACAATCGAGACTTTCGTAAATTCAACTTGCGCAAAAAAAATGCGTTTTTACAAAATTTACATAAAACCTTTTGCACCGTATCGAAGGTAATATGCTGTAAGGTTCCTATTTAAGTACTCGTTGTCGTTTTCTAAGAGTTAAAAAAGCAACTCGGCGCTACGCGCCTCCTTAGACACTGTAATATACTACTAGAAATAGTTTTCTTTACAAGGATTTATTGCGCTTTTAACTTACAATCATCAACGCGAAGGCCATCACTTGCTTCAATTCCTGAGTCCGTTGACCTGTCTACAGCTGAGTCTGATAATTGCGACTGAAAAGTCAATAATTATAAACAAACTAACATTCGCTTTGGCGACAAAAGTTGTTGTTACGAGACTCAAGTCTCGTCTTCAAGAGTAACTTTAATCTGAAATTTTTATGTGATATTTATTTGCCGCGTACAAAAAGTCCCTTTTTATTATGTACACGTAACAAACAAGATTGTGATTATTTAGATACAAGGGAAGCACTGTAAACAATGTTGATGTTGTAGATTTCAATAAGAGGCAACGTGGTCAAACGTGTAGAGCCTTTTTATTTTACAGACATTCAAGATAAGGCTTACCTCTACATCCTTTTTTTTTATTCGATTAACAAATTCAATTTTCAAATAATCAGTGTATAGATAATCAATTAAATGATTACTTAGCTGTTTTTTTAAGTGATTTGAAGATTGAATTCGATGGTAATTACCACAACTAATGTACATGTGTCAGATTCATACCTGCATTCCTGCCCCTATTTTGATATCTACAACTACAGTAAAAGCCCACATAAATTAAAAGAACCTAGTGATTTAAGAACCTACATGTACAGGGCTGAAATTTGGCTTTGAAATACCCAAAAATATAAGAACCCTTGCAGCCTTGAAAAGAAAAATAGGTTCTTATACAAAAAAACACTCCCATTTTGATGGACAAATTCTGGATTTTAATTGGGTGAAAAAACTTCTACAAAAAAGTCATTGTGTTATGTTTTCTTTGATTTACGTTTGTTTGGATTTTCACTAGAAATCTGTTTTCCATAAGCAACTGTATATCAGTAGCACAATTATTCTGCCAATAATTACGCTACGACAACGTCGGAAAAATAAGAACCTATCAAGTACCTAATCGGCCTTGAATTGTGAAAAACGATCCCATAATATAAGAATCCGTTCAGCCTGACCTCGAAAATTCTAGTTTCTTATGTGGGCTTTTACTGCATGTACTCAGTACTCGGTATAAAGATCTTCAATTCCTTGAAGGGACTTTTACATCAACTTCAAGAAAACGAAAACTAAGCTGGCAGGAATGAGATAGATTCTCAAGTGAAATATTTGGAGGGGAGGGGAGACTGCAAATATGCCGGTAACATTGTTTAAGGAAAAGGATATGGCTTCTATAAACCAACATGTCCCCCAGGAAGTTACAAACTCTAAAACGTTTTATCGATAGCATGTTAGTATAAGGTATAAGACTTTAGAACCTCACTTCACAGTCTGATCTCGACGTTCCTACATCTTCGTTACGTCCTTCGATAGCTTTGTTGATATATTCAGTTTGTCGGGCCCAGTTCCAATCTGTATTCATAACAGAATTCCGTTTTGGAGGACAAGAAGACTTGCAGTACAGGGTCCCAAGATTTCGAGTTAATACAAGACAGGGTCGAAATGATGTTTTGAGGCCTGCAGTCCCTGACTGAGCAACAAGGCTTCCTTGGGCCATTGTTATACCTGTGCTTTGGATTATAAATTAGAAAGCAGAATATCAAGTTAATTCATAAGCCATCTACTGAATGCAAAAACAACCAAACAAGAGGATCAGTAATGAAAAAGGTCGTTTTCCTAAACAAAAATCGTAGTTCAAAAAATAAACATACTGCAGAAGATTTCAGAGAGGGGTCAAGGGTAGTAAAACCATGAATGGTGTAACAGGACCTTGATGCTATGCTAATTATGCGTCAGTCAATTGAAATTCGGGTCCCCGTACTCCCGGGACTTAGCCGGGAATTCAACATTAGTTTGGTGTTAAAACACCGCTAATTTCTCCGCTCGCCGGGCCAAGTAGTTTGTTAATAGCGGGGCATTAGTACAGTGTAGCTCTGGGCTAGATTTCAACCGCTCTCTCCGGTCAAACCATCTGACCTGTTAATAGAAACTCTCGACTGTGTTCCTTCAAATTCATGAATAGTGTTATCCTGGGTGACAGAGGATTTTTCTCTTACCTAATTTCTGAGAACGGACCTCTGGAGCCAGTGTAGAAAAATGCGGTTCCACTTTTTTAAAAATGTTCCATTTGCCATATGAAAAACATGGGTTACAAACAGTCGCAAATGATGTGACCACTCCCCTTGTTTTGCGCCTTAGAAACTGACTAGAACCGAGTGTGATTTTCGGACTGTTTACACCGAGGGAAGAAGATCCTAGAAGGTGGAATAACTTTATATGCTTGGTTTGCATACACATTATAGATATTTCGGTTCTTGTGGTGTCCAAGTAGAGAAGGTTCGAGAAAGAATTAAAGATGGTGGGCAACAAAAACAAAAATTCAATTTAGGCCCTTCTGCTCTGGCAGTACCAAGTATCTTTCACAGCAGAATTATCACAATAATTAGCTCGTGGTAACGTCATACGAAATGGTCGACTTTTATTGCCGTGATTAGACTCTGAGCGACCCACCACAATTTTTGTCTGGTTTCAGGGGCGGATCCAGGATTTTTTTTAGGAGGGGGTGTACTCGTCTCTTGCTCTACTTCAACACCAATAAATTTTATAAACCAAATAGTTTTTTGTTTCGCAGAATACCAGTTATATTAGAAAACCGCAGGTCATCTCAGGGGGTGGTGCGCACCCCCTGCACCCTCCCCCTAGATCCGCCCCTGGGTTTGTCCCTAGTACTAGGATCTTCCTAGCGAAAGCAGTTTACATGGTGCTAGGATTTTCCTACCTCTCAGATAGGAAGATCCTAGTACTAAGAAGATCCTAGCGCTAGGCACAAGTACAATGGTCTTTGCATGTAAACCGAATACAGGATCTCCCTTCCTTCATGGAAACGGCCCCTAAAATGTAGCATTGAAATGGCGGCTTTCTATTTTGCTTATTTTCTTAAGTTTTTCCCTCTTGTCATTTTACATTTTTTCCCGAAAGGTTCGACAAAGTTAGCAATGCACTTGCGATCAAAACACGGTTGAACAAGAAGTCTTAAACAAAACAGCTATGTCTTCCTCCAATTTTCTAATCGTGAAAGTAACAGAAGAGAGAGAGAGAGGGACTCTCCTCTGCCTACAAAATAACGGGTCAAGCCACTAGAACCCTCCACTAAAGGAAAGGATGACCGCCCGCTCCCCTTCCCAGTCCACCGTTCGGCTCGCTTCCCTCGCCGTGTGTTTTTGTTTTTTTGTTTTTGCTGTTTCGCCTCGATCGTTTTTTTGCCGTTTCCCCCCGCTGCGGAGCCTAGTTCCAGGCTAATTCATTTTAAACTTGAATTTCTGGACGACAAATATTGGACATGTTGATGACCATCGAGTCTACATCACACGGATAAACTTCCTCTCAACTCTAAAGTCACTTACTTGATCCTCCTTGAATCTCCCTGATTGTTTTTCCATCAAAGATATGAGATCCACCAAAGTCAAATTCCTTGCGCTCATTATTAGCCCTCTTTAAAACTGCACACAAAAAGTTGGACATGTAAGAAGATAATTATATACAACAATGTTAGTATTTAAGAATTACAACACAGTGAGCAGCCTGTCAAAAAATTTTGAGAAATTCTAACAGTAATAGCAATCCCAACAAGCAATCACTTGGTAATAATTTCTACCTATGTTGTATGAAGTACATGAAGTAGCCTCGTTTTCACCTTACCCCAAGCCCCCAGTCCCCAGCCCTAGTTCACTTTGTGCTGATCCTGGTTTTAGTACTCTTGGGCCAAGTGATCTTGTGAACAAGGTGGACATGCAGTTCTCATACTTTCAAAGATTTGGGGAAGAAATTTGTTGTTGCTGCAGTTTTCAGTTTGTTTTGCTTTTATTTGCCTGTTAGTGAGAAAAATTTCTGATTTAACAACTTCACACAGCAAATACATGAAAATTTGATTAGCAACTTCTTATGAAACACTGACAAACAAATTGAGAACCATTTAACTGACTATAAAAGAAAACAAATCTGAGAGCAACTTCTTATTATACTAATTATTTGTGAAATTAAGAGAGTCCATTAGAAAGGGTGGGGTGATAAGCAAGACAAGGAAGTAAGGGGGAGGGGTAAGTGAAACATGGAGGTATGGGTGCAAAAAAAGACTGAGCCAAGTATGTTATTAACATGGTTCCATGTTCTCTGGATATTTCAGGTTTGTAATTAGGTTAAAAGAAACACATTTTTCACATAAGAATCAGAAATAAGATAAACTATTTTAAGAGTTATATTTTAAGAGTCTTGAGTCATACAAACAGTGGATTGAAACTCAATAACAGATCCAGTTTTAAGGTTTCGCATGTCACTGAATGAAGTGTGCTCCTCATTAGACTTTATTAGAGTGACAGTTCTGAAAAGAGTCATGCTTAATCTCTTTGCTCTGGCACCTGCACCTGGTTGCATGGGTCAATACAGTAACTTGCCGTCAGCAGTAGTGTGGTGGAAAAAAGTTCTTCTCTGAAAGAAAATATAAAAAAATTACAGTGGTACACCAAGGCTTGAATTTTTATGATATGTGTTGCTTAGTGCACTAATTAACTTTGCGAGTTCTCAGTGCAAATACTTTAAGACCACCTTTAACTCCCAGGGTTCACTTGTTCAAAGTCGACTGAAAAAAAAAAACACTTAAATCCGGGCTTAAATTTTTCCTGGCCTTCTATTTTGTTCGAAAGAATTTTCTAAAATGATTTTCTCTTTTTCTTTTAGATCATCCCATCATCAAATTGTACACAAAAGGAATGAACTGAATTTGATTTGTATTCTTTTACAATTAACTCAATCCAAATTTTGCACTAACCCTGGGTTATCTTGACTCAGCTTTGAACAAACTGGCCCAGAATTTTGACCTTATTTAAAGTCTATTTATCAATGATAATTCAAAGCAAAATTCCAAATCTTAAATGTGATGGACAAATCAAAATAAATTATGTTCCAAGGGCACGTGATAATTACAGCTGAAAACTAGATTTCATCTGATTTATTAATTCAATAACATACTATCACATTATATATTGACTTATTAACTTCCTTGAATCTAAGAATTACACACTAGTCAAACTAGATTACAGAGGACAAAAATGTTAGTTTTCATGTTTGTACATGATATGAATGCTACAAAACTTCTGAAGATGACTACACCGCATCAGTTGTTGGAATGTTGTCACTTTAAAGAACAGTCATCATATTTGAAAGGACTATACTCACCAGGGCGATTATATTCCATCTACTTATGAAATGACTTTGGGTTCATTTTTTTTTATAATGTTTTATAAAATTATTCATGTGCAGATCAATTCAAACCTTCCACAGCCCACAGGCTCTCCCAGTTTTTGACCATCACTTGAAAGTGTCCACTGCAGGTAGTGAGGGAATTTTGAGGCAAATTAAGCATTAATTTAATTCCCACATGTACAGGTGGTACAATCTGCTGTCTGACCATGTCGTTCAACAGATGCAATCTTTCTTAATTAGCTTAGTGAGAATGATGGAGGAGTTTGGAAACATTTGGAAGCAAAAGGCTTGTTTATTTGTTGGTTATACCATTGAGGGAAGTGACTATGGAAACAAAGGTGCTGAATTTTTGTAGTTTAACTGTCAATCAACATAAAGTGGATTTGTCAGTTAAGGTGGCTTCCATAATACAAGGGTTTACAAAGTAGTTGCCAGAGAAGGAAATAGATCACAGTAAAGTGAGAAACAAATCAAACAATTCAGATAATCCCGATAAGATCAGGATGGGTGGACTGACTGCTAATGAGTGATTTTTACTTTCAACCTCTGAAACAGTATCTAAAGTTAATATATAACGTGCCAAATTAAGTTACAAGAAAAAAAAAGGAAGAAAAGAAAAGAATGCAATAAATAGCAGTAGGCCATTTCCGAGTTCCCCCAGGCCTCTGTTTCAAACTGAGGTTAAGTGCTCAGCCTTTGATATGGAAATGAGTTTTCATTCTCATGCAAATAAAACTCATTTTCACAAGAAAGGCTGTGCACTTGGCCTCATTTTGAAAGTGAGAGATTTTGGAACTCGGAAGTGGGCTGTTGTACATGGCCCTACTGAGAAACTTACATGTAGTCTGCAATCTATCTCATGAGTTAAGTAAAATCACTCTAGAAGCACTGCCTTTCTTTCTTTTTTTTTAATACAAAAAAAGTTACAAATGTGTTGAGATACAAGCCTGACTTAATACTTCCAGAAATCCAAAGCATTCAGCATAAATTAAGACGTAAATCTTAAAAACAATTTGCCCATTTACATGTAAGGGAATCCAGATTCCAAAACTGGAAATATTTGCTAGTGGAATACAAAATTCAGCTCAAGGAATCCGAAAACCTACTAATGATTTGAATCTGGAATCTAAGTTCCACTGACAGATAATCTAGAATCCAAGGCTTGGACTTCCTTACATGGGGCAAAACAATACTGGACATCCCAAAAAGATTTCTAATGTTCTGGTTTTTTGTTTCTTTTTCACAGTAGCTGTATGCATAATTGATATCAATGGGGTGTAGAAATCTTGCAATAAATTG